TTTCATTCCATTCAGTCCTCGCTGCATCTCCTGTCGCTTGTGCATTCAAACACAAGCCGCTGATTGAGCCAAATCTACAAGCCACAGACCCCTTTTCTTGGGTAAATTCCCCCAGGTACTGCAGGTATACTCTCAGGTCTGCAGGTAAGCCTCCCAGGTGTGTTCCCCCCTTGGGTCTGTGGCTTGTAGCTGAGGCTGCACCAGTGGCCCCCTTCTCTGCTCTCACTTGCCATCCCACCCCACCCCACCCATGCACTCCTCTCACATTTCTACCCCTAGCCGCATACTCACTTCTCTTCAGTTCTCTCCTTGCTGGTTGAGGGGAGGGGCGTGGGGGTCAACACCGCCGCTTCCTCGCGCTCCTCCCCCTGTGGCCGTGCAGGTGTCAGTGGTGGGAGGGGAGGGGAGGGGGGCAGCACTCCACTTGGCTGGGGCGGGAAGGGAGAGTATCGGGCTGGGTTGTCTGAAACAAGGTGAGCCTCTTTTCCCCTCCCTGCCACAGATGCTTGAATTTCTGTTCTTCCTTCAATCACGCTGCTGCTTGGTTTTCTGCCCATGCTCACTTCGCTTGATGCTCCCTGCCCTGTGTTCCCTATTTTCTCATTGCCCTTCACATCCCCTTCCTCTCCTCCTCCCTCCCTTCCTCTTTCTGCTCGTCCCAGCAGGTCGCTCATACGGGAGTGGCAATGGCGGGAGACATGGAGTGCAACAGCAGCTGCTCTCCACCCAACCCACCCACAGCTAAGTATCCGCCCTCACTTTCTCCTCCCAATCTCTCTCGAGTTCGTTTGCTTTCCACGTTCATCCTTGCTGCATCTCCTGTTTTCTTGTCTCTTCAAATGCAAGCCTCTTGTTGAGCCAAAGCATCAAGCCACAGACCCCTTTTCTTGGGTAAATCCCCCCAGGTATTACAGGTATACTCTCAGGTCTGCAGGTAAGCCTCCCAGGTGTGTACCCCCCTTGGATCTGTGGCTTGTAGCTGAGGCTGCACCAGTGGCCCCCTTCTCTGCTCTCACCTGCCATCCCACCCCACCCCACCCATGCACTGCTGTCACAATTCTACCTCTAGCCGCATACTCACTTCTCTTCAGTTCTCAGGGGAGGGGCGTGGGGGTCAACACCGCCGCTCCCTCGCGCTCCTCCCCTGTAGCCATGCAGGTGGCAATGGTGGGAGGGGGGGGGGGGCAGCACTCCACTCGGCTGGGGTGGGTAGGGAGAGTATCGGGCTGGGTCGTCTGAATCAAGGTGAGCCTCTTCTCCTCTCCCTGCTACAGATGTCTCATTTCGCTCTCTTCAATTTGCAGTTTCTATTTTGTCCACTCTAGTGTTCTTGTGTTTACTTGAGTGCCAACTTACCTATTCCTCCTGCCCCTCCTCTCCTGTCCCTTGCGCCCACTGCCAGGTCACTTGGTGGGAGGGGAGGGGCGCAGCACTCCACTCCACTCGGCTGGGATGGCAAGGGATAGTATCGGGATGGGTTGTCTTTACAAGGTGAGCCTCTTTTCCCCTCCCTGCCAAAAGTTCATTCGTGTGTGCTCTTTCCTTCACTCACGCTGCTGCTTTCCTTCTCCCAATGCTCACTGTCTTTTCTTGCTTCTGTCCTGCCTTCACGCTTCTGCCTGTTCTTCTCCTCATGCTCACTGCTCTCCCTTGGTCCCTGCCTCCCTCCCTTCCCAGCAGCCTGAGGCATCATGGCGCTCTGCATGGTTCTGGTAGGTGGAGGTAAGGAGAGGTAAGGAGGCATGAGGATGAAGTGTGGGGGGGGTGGGTGGGTGGGTAGGAAGCATGGGAGCAAGCAGGGAGTTCACTGCCTTAGGGGCAGCACCCTCTGGGGTTGTGCCTTGTGGGGTGGGGTGGGGTGGGTGGAATCTGCGTGGCACGGCACTCGGTGCTCAAGTAACCGATCTGACGTGCAAGGCCTAATGGACACCGTCAGAGCCGACCGGCCGGCGGCTCTGGTTCGCGTCAGCTCTGGCTACGTCAGGGGTGGGATTTGAGTCTTGGGCTGGAAGCAATTTTCCACTACCACTCCTCGCCCTGCGAGGCACAACCCCCTGGGGTTGCTGTTTCCGAAGGGGAGTGGCCTGTCTGCTGCTCCTACTGCTAGCAGGTGAGTTTGGGAAGGAGCTGGGTGGGGTGGGTGGTGATGGGGGTGAGAGGCAGTGGGGTTGTCAGTGGCACGTTATTAGCCATATGGCATTGATGCCACCTGTTGCGTGAGAGTATGATGCTCGTGCTTGGTTGGTGGCACATGATGAGCCGTATGGCACTGATGCCACATAATGCATGAGAGCATGATGCTCATTTGGGTGGCATGGGATGAGCCCGAGGGCACTGATGCCACCAGTAGCATGAGAGTAGGATGCTGAATTGGATGGCATGGGATGAGCCCTAGGGCACTGATGCCACCTGTTGCATGAGAGCAGGATGCTCATTTGGGTGGCATGGGATGAGCCCGAGGGCACTGATGCCACCTGTTGCATGAGAGCATGATGCTCATTTGGGTGGCATGGGATGAGCCCTAGGGCACTGATGCCACCTGTTGCATGAGAGCAGGATGCTCATTTGGGTGGCATGGGATGAGCCCTAGGGCACTGATGCCACCTGTTGCATGAGAGCATGATGCTCATTTGGGTGGCATGGGATGAGCCCTAGGGCACTGATGCCACCTGTTGCATGAGAGCAGGATGCTCATTGGGGTGGCATGGGATGAGCCCTAGGGCACTGATGCCACCTGTATGCATGGTGAGGGCAGGATGTGTCTGGTAGTTGTTGTGGATAGAGAGTGGGGGGGTGTGGTTGGTGGTGGTGAGCGTCATTGGTTAGAGCGAATGCTGAGAGCGATTGGAGCGAGCAATTGGAGCGAGCAATTGGTGAGATTGTTGTGAAACAGAGTTTGAGAATGTGTGGGGACAGTGAGTGGGGATAGTGATTGGGGACAATAAGTGGTGAGTGTGAGTGGGGACAGCAAGTGGTGATAGTGAGTGAGGCGAGTGAATGGTGATAGTGATTGGTGAAAGACATTGGTGAGATTGAGTGGGGATAGTGAGTGGTGAGTATGAGTGCTGAGAGTGTGTGGTGAAAAGGGGTTGCAAGAGTGAATGGGATAGTGAGTGGTGAGAGTGTGAGGCAAGAGTGGGTGGTGACAATGAGTGTTGAGTAATGTGTTTTCTGGTGTGAATGGGTGGCAAGACAGACATTCAGTGGTGAGAGTTAGGTTTTCAAAGAAGTTCTTCGGTGACCAGCAGGATAGTGAGCTGTGAGTGAGTGGTGAGGGTGGGCGGCAGTGAGAGTGAGCTGTGAGAGTGAGCAGTGAAAGCGAGTGGCGAGAGGTATTGGCCAGAGCGAATGGTAAGAACAATTGGGGAGGGTGATTACGGACATTATTCTGTGAGAGCGAATGGGGGAGAGCGAGAGTGGAGTGTGCGTTCTTAGGGTCAGATCAGTATTATGTGGTGAGAGTGGGTGGTGGCAGTGGGTGTTGAGGGTGTGGTGAGAACGAGTGTTGCGAGTCGATTGTGTTGAGTGAGTGGAGAGTGTGAGTGGCGACAATCGGTACGGTAACAACAAATTGTGAATTGCGAGTGTTGAGGATGAATGGAAGGAAGGTAGTAAGAAATGATAATATTTACGTCATTGTATCGTACGGACCATCCTGCACCTTTTTGCACCAGAGGGACTATTACGAGGCCATATTTGTTTGCGATATATCTTCCACCTTACATGTAATTAATTAATTACTCTATATGCAGTGTGGGTCTTTTTGTGTTACGCAACACTTTTTGCCTCTCAAGTCAATCATTTCAATCCCAAAGCTTTTTGGCGCTCGATGCAGCGAAGAGATGAGATGAGATGACTCGTGCTTCGTACCATACATGGACTGTAGAACCATGGAGTGGCAGACATGTGCTGTACAAATCTTTCAATCCAACTGGGGTCCGGCTCGGCAGAATTTTCAGGCCCAACAACCGCAAAGTTGCGCTGCGGTGCGAACACGGCTGCAAATCCCCGCATCAATGACTTCCCCCGCACCAAAGACCGAACCACCACTTCCCCCCAGCCCAACCACCGAATTCTCCCTGCCCTGCAACTCCCCCACCCCTTCCCTTTCCCCCCGACCCGATCCCCCCGAACGACGGGTGGTGCAGGTCTCCGCCAGCCCAGACTCTGATCGCGGAACAAACGCAACTGTTCGCCTACCACCAGGGGCAAGGACCGTGGTTCTGACCAATCACAGGCGTCCGTGTGCCCCTTTCGTCAGCACAGCATTTCTAAAGAAGCGCTTTTCCGCCTCCAATCGGCAATTTCCAGGGTGACCAGCTCAGCAAGGCCAGCCCCGATTTCCCCCCTCTCCCCCTACGCGGTTCGGAGTGTTGACCGCGCACTCGGCAAGGTAAGGTGGTTGCGCAGCCGTCTTTCCCCCGAGTGTTCCCCGCGCACCCTGCAAAGTAAGTCAGATGCGCTGCGCAGCCGACTTTACATCTCTCCCCCCTCCTCCCTCGCTCCCGCAGTAGCACATACATTCGCATCTCTTTGACAGAGCTCATATCAAATGGCCCTTGCCTTGACATTTTGAAGTCGGTGCTCTGATTCCAAGTCAAAGCTTGCGCTTTCACTCGCCTGGCATTGTAAAAGTAGCTTGGAAAGAATCAGAGCCTTCACTCCCTTCGTTTGAAACGGAGATCACACCTTCTTCTCCTAACTAACACCAGCAAGCACGTGATCCATCGTTGTAGTCGACGTTATCGACATTCAAGAAGACATTTAACCGATTTAAGCACTGGCATGGTGGCAAGGAAGGTTTTCCACCATCATTGTATTTATCATCATCCGGCCGCATTTCTCTCACTACCCTCTGCCCGTCGGGGAAGCGGGAGGATAACTTATTCGGTTTTCTTGATCCACCTCTCCTCAGCAAAAACGATTCTTGCAAAGTGTTGATACATCTGCAATACCTGTTGCCAGAACGATCAAGAGAAGTAATATTTTATCGTGTAGCCATGGCGCGAAGCTTCCGAGAGCTGTCGTCAATGTCGACACTCGTGTTCGTGTCACTGCTGGTGCTATCCTCCTCGACCGACGCGTTGAGGCCGTTTGACAGAATGCGGCCAAGTGCAAGCGAGAGCCAACGAGCGACAACCTCCGTCAAGGGAGAGCCGCTAAAGACAGGTTCGTTTCCCACTACGACGTGCTTGTGTGGCGTAGCGTGCAGGTAACCTGCGCGTAAACTCGGACCTGAGATTAAGTGAAACGAAACCGCTCTGCATGAACCGCCTTTCATGAACCACCCCGCATGTACCGTTCCACGTGTACCGTTCCACGTGTACCGTTCCATGTGTACCGCTCCACATTGTCGTGATTGCAAGCTCGCAAAATTGCTTACTGGTGCATACCGCGCTTTCGCCTGTCGCCCTCCGTCGCCCTCCGCTGTTTGCTCTTTTTTTCTCTTGGTATTTCTCACTCCTACCCTCCCCCCGTCCACCTTCTTCTTTTTCCCCTTTCCGCAGTCTACATCGTCCGCTTCCACGCCATGCCCCCCGCGGCCACGTACACGGGCGGAATCCTCGGCTTCCCCGCAACCGCTGCGCCGATGGACGACTCGGAGGAGGGGCTAATCGCCAGCGCGGCTTCCGCGGGGTCGGGGGGAGCCGGCGGGCTGCGCCGCGCGTTCGACGCGTCGCAGCCGCACGTGCGCGCGTACGCGGCGCACCTGGTGCGCATGCACAGGACGGTGCTGGCGGAAGCGGGGGTCGATAGCAGCGCGCACGTGTACAGGTGAGGTTGACTGTAGCAGGGCTTTTTCTAGCAGCGCGCGCATTTACGGAAATGTATAGGTCTGGCTGGAGGGCGAGATTGAAATACTTCGAAGAGAACTAACAGACCAAACAGGCTGTTCCGATGGACAAGCCACGGCTGCATGCACGGCTGCATGCACGGCTGCATGCACGGCTGCATGCACGGCCTTCAAACAAACCAAACAGGCAATACTTTGGTTCAGGAGTAGTTATAGTTGCCTGTTTGGTCTGCTCCTGAACCAAAGTTTTCTCCATCATCCTTCCATCGCCTTTCCTTCGTCGCAGCTACACATGCGCTCTCAACGGCGTGGCAGCAACGCTCACTCCGCAGCAAGTGGAGATCCTCAAGAGACGGCCAGAAGTGGGGTCCGTGAGGGAGGCGCCTAAGTACGAGCTGCACACGACGTTCACGCCCACGTTCCTGAACCTGCGCAAGCGCGTGTGGAGCAACGAGACGCTCCAGAACGGGCAGAAGGGCGCGGGGCAGCAGGGCGAGGACGTGATTATCGGCGTGATCGACACGGGGGTCTGGCGGGAGAACCCTGCTTTCAGCGACGATGTGAGTATAACGAGGGGAAGGGCGAAGGGGAGAGTAGGAGGAAGATACAGGTGGAATGCGGCCTGTAGTGCTCTCATCTCACCCTCCACTCATCTTACCCTCCTGTCCTTTCACCCTCCCTTCATCCCACCCTCCCATCTTCCCAACCTCCCTGCATCTCACCCTCCCTTCTTGTCCCCTTGACTTACCCACCCTTTATCTCATCCGCTCCTCACCGCCTCTCTCCTGCCCCACCCTCTTACTCTACAACCCAGGTCACCCCGCCCTACGGTCCAGTGCCAGCGCAGTGGAAGGGGTCGTGCATGACGTCAGCGGACTTCCCCAGCTGCAACCGCAAGCTGATTGGCGCGAGGGGGTTCTTCCAGGGGCTCAAGGCGGGGGGGTACACCATGGACTGGACCATTGACTACAAGTCCGCGAGGGATGTGGCGGGGCATGGGACACATACCACCAGGTACGGGTGTAAGTCAGTGCAGGTGCGAGCAACGGGGCACACAATCTCTCTTCCAGGGGCTCGAGGCGTCGGGGTACACCATGGACTGGACCATTGACTACAAGTCCGCGAGGGATGTGGCGGGGCATGGGACACATACCACCAGGTACGGGTGTAAGTCAGTGCAGGTGCGAGCAACGGGGCACACAATCTCTCTTCCAGGGGCTCGAGGCGTCGGGGTATACCATGGACTGGACCATTGACTACAAGTTCGCGAGGGATGTGGCGGGGCATGGGACACATACCACCAGGTACGGGTGTAAGTCAGTGCAGGTGCAAGCAACGGGGCACACAATCTCTCTTCCAGGGGCTCGAGGCGTCGGGGTACACCATGGACTGGACCATTGACTACAAGTCCGCGAGGGATGTGGCGGGGCATGGGACACATACCACCAGGTACGGGTGTAAGTCAGTGCAGGTGCGAGCAACGGGGCACACAATCTCTCTTCCAGGGGCTCGAGGCGTCGGGGTACACCATGGACTGGACCATTGACTACAAGTCCGCGAGGGATGTGGCGGGGCATGGGACACATACCACCAGGTACGGGTGTAAGTCAGTGCAGGTGCGAGCAACGGGGCACACAATCTCTCTTCCAGGGGCTCGAGGCGTCGGGGTATACCATGGACTGGACCATTGACTACAAGTCCGCGAGGGATGTGGCGGGGCATGGGACACATACCACCAGGTACGGGTGTAAGTCAGTGCAGGTGCGAGCAACGGGGCACACAATCTCTCTTCCAGGGGCTCGAGGCGTCGGGGTATACCATGGACTGGACCATTGACTACAAGTCCGCGAGGGATGTGGCGGGGCATGGGACACATACCACCAGGTACGGGCGTAAGTCAGTGCAGGTGCAAGCAAAGGGGCGTTCCTGTCCCTCTTCCAGGCTCTCAAGGCATCAGGGTACACCATGGACTGGACCGTTGACTATAAATCTGCACGAGACGTTGCCGGGCATGGCACTCACACCACCAGGTAGGGAATGGGGCGCAGAGCAGCTGTAGGGGGGTGGGGCTTTAGCTATAGGTGCAGCCTGCACTGCAAGCTGATCGGCGCGCGGGGGTTCTTCCAGGGGCTCAAGGCGTCGGGGTACACCATGGACTGGACCATTGACTATGAATTGGCACGCACGGGATACACTCCAGCAGGTGGGGCTGTAATATTGGGGGGATTGGAAATGCAAGCTTGTAGCAGCAGCAGGTGCAATCAGCAGTGGGGAGGCGCAGGAGGGCGGGCGGCAACAGGAGAGTGGAAGTGAAGCTGAACGGTGCATTGGCATGGTAGGCCGCGTTTAACAATGCTTGATCCCATTGCTCTTCGCTTTCCCCTCTCCCCTCCCTCCTGTCCCCCTGTGCAGCACGGCGGGCGGCAACGGTGGTGTGGCAGTGACGCTGAATGGAGTCTCGTTTGGGACAGCCAGTGGCATGGCGCCACGTGCACGCGTCGCTATGTATAAGGTGGGTTTGTGGTCAGTGCATGGTGTGGCGTGGCATGGCATGGTTTTGCGTGGCATGGCGTGGCATGGCGTGGTATGGCGTGGCATGTACTTGATGACTTGTACATGGCATGAGCATGGAGTTGCGTGGCATGCCATGCGCATGTGTGTTATGGCATGGCATCACGTGACCTTCCCTTTCCCAACTGCCACCACCATTTCCCTCCCACACGCCTCACCCTGCCCGCCCTGCTCCTCCCCTCCCCTCCGCTCCCCTGCCCTGCCTTCCCCTCCCCTCCCCTCCCCACCTCTCCCCCCTTTTGCAATGCCTTTTTCGTTTGAGTGACTGTTCAGACACACTCAAGGCAACTCACCGCCCTCTGTGTCCTCCCTCCCCTTCCAACACCACCATCACTACCCGTTCTCGCATCTCTTGTACCCTTTCTGAAGGTATTCTGGGCGACGGAGGAGAACGGGAGGGACAACTGTGACGGGTCGGACATTCTCAAGGCCGTGGATGCAGCGGTGGCAGACGGGGTGGACGTGATCAGCCTGTTGCTCTGTGCACGTCCATCAGGCAACTCCACTCAACCCCCTTGCCTGTCTGCTCTCCCCCTGCCACCACCACCCCTCTTTCCCCCCCCGGTTCCCTCTCTCCGCCCTCCACAGGTCTTCTGGGCGACGGAGGAGAACGGGAGGGACAACTGTGACGGGTCGGACATTCTCAAGGCGGTCGATGCAGCCGTGGCAGACGGGGTGGACGTGATCAGCCTGTCCGTGGGCCGCCAGGCTCCTCTGTTCTTCGATGACGATGAGATGATCTACCTCAATGCAGCCAGGGTGAGTGAGTGAGTAGCAATCCTTCCACAGGGTAAGTGGGCTCGTTCACAGCACTTCCCTGCAGCCGTGGCGGACGGGGTGGACGTGATCAGCCTGTCGGTGGGCCGCCAGGCGCCTCTTTTCTTTGATGACGACGAAATGATCTACCTCAATGCCGCTAGGGTGAGTGAGTGAGTGAGTGAGTGAGCCTGTAGCAGGCAATCACAGCAGTTCCCTGTGCCAACGAATGTGGGCGTCATCTCATCAGCCTGTCGGTGGGCCGCCAGGCACCTCTGTTCTTTGACGATGACGAGATGATCTACCTCAATGCTGCCAGGGTGAGTGACTGATCTGGTAGCAGGCCTCCTCGTCCACAGGGTGATCTCGTTCACTCGCAGCAGCTCCTTCACTGCACCTGTGGCAGACGGGGTGGACGGTATAAGCCTGTCCGTGGGCCGCCAGGCGCCTCTCTCCTTTGATGACGATGAGATGATCTACCTCAACGCGGCCAGGGTGAGTGGGCTTTGCAACAGTCCTCCCCAGAGTGAGCTCATGCACAGCAGTCCTCTAGCAGACGGGGTGGACGTGATCAGCCGGTCCGTGGGCCGCCAGGCACCGCTCTTCTTTGATCATGATGAGATGATCTACCTCAACGCTGCTAGGGTGAGCGGGTTCAGTGTCGGCATCAGCAGCAAGGGGCAGCAGCCCCGTTTTCCCGCAGCATGGGGCACCCTTCTTCCTGGATGATCACCGTTGCTGCCAGCTCGTGACGTTATGAGCTGGGCCTTCCCCGTCTCTCCACTCCCTTACCACTGCCCTCTCCTCCCCAACCCCCAACCCACCTTCCCCCACCACCGCCACCTCCCCCAACTTCACCACCCCCCAACAGGCAGGCGTGCTGGCGTCAGTATCAGCGGGCAACAGCGGCCCCACCACCATCGGAGGCCAGTTCTTCCGCAGCATCGGGCACCCGTCCCCGTGGATGATCACCGTTGCTGCCAGCTCCCACGGCCGCAACTACATGACGGATGTGACTGTGAATGGGGAGAAGTTCTCAGGGCGATCCATGGTGGGGACGGGCGCGGGGGAGCTCATTCTGGGGAGGAACGGCGTGAAGGCTGGGGGCAATTCCTGGATGGTGAGTGTGGGTGGGGTAGAGACTAGAGAGGGAGGGTGAGTGAGCAGCTCGCACGGGCGCAACTACATGACGGATGTGACGGTCAACGGGGAGAAGTTCTCGGGGCGGTCGATGGTGGGGACGGGCACGGGGGAGCTGATTCAGGGGAGGAACGGCGTGAAGGCCGGTGGGAATTCCTGGATGGTGAGTGAAGGGGCGGAGAGTAGGGAGGGAGGGAGTGAGTGAGGGAGTACGTTTAGGGTGGGTGAGAGAGGCACGCGCAGTGAGTGAGTGAGAGGGAGTGAGTGAGCGAGCATGGTAGCAGGAATGAATGCTGCCAGCTCCCACGGGCGCAACTACATGACGGATGTGACTGTCAATGGGGAGAAGTTCTCTGGGCGGTCCATGGTGGGGACGGGTGAAGGGGAGCTCATTCTGGGGAAGAACGGCGTCAAGGCTGGGGGGAACGCGTGGATGGTGAGTAAAGGGGAGTGGTTGAGGGTGTTTGAGAGGTTGTGAATGAGTGAGCACGTGTGGTAGCTAGCAGGGGTGGGGGCGGGCGAGGGGAAGGTGATTCTGGGGAAGAACGCTGTGAAGGCTGGGGGGAAGTCGTGGTTGGTGAGGGAGCGAGTGAGAGAGCGAGTGAGAGAGCGAGTGAGTGAGCGAGTGAGTGAGGTCACCAGCAAAGTCGCTGTCAACTGAGAGGGGTTGGTGGGTGGGCCTCCGAGATTTCAACCTCCCCTTCCCTGCCCATCTGCCTCCATCTTTCCATCCCCCCTCCCCCACTCCAACCCTTTCACAGGCCGGTGTGTGTGCATCAGGCACCCTCGACCCAGCCAAGGTCGCCGGAAAGATAGTCGTGTGTCGACGCATATCGCAATATGGCGGGTGGAGCTCCGAGCTCCCAACCCTCCTCTTCCCTGCTCATCTTCCTCCCTCTTTCCATCCCCTCCCCCCTTCCCCACCCTCCCCCACCCCAACCCCTCCCAGGCCGGTGTGTGTGCATCAGGCACCCTCGACCCAGCCAAGGTCTCTGGCAAGATTGTGGTCTGTCGACGCTTATCCCAATATGGCGGATGGAGCTCCGAGTTCTCAACCTTCCTCTTCCCTGCCCGTCACCTTCCACTCCACCCCTCTCCATTTTCCACCTGAAATCCTACCAGGCCGGTGTGTGTGCGTCAGGCACCCTCGACCCAGCCAAGGTGTCGGGGAAGATCGTCGTGTGTCGTCGCATGTCCCAATACGGCGGGTGGAGCTCGGAGGATCTCCTCCCTATAAGCATCACCGTTAAGAAGGCTGGCGCTGCTGGTGTGATTATATACAACACGGATAAGGCGGATCGCGTGGTGGCTGTGCTTCACCCAATCCCTGCCTGCCACCTGGACCGGTACACTGGCAAGCGGCTCGTGAAGCTTCTGGGAAATTCTACAGGGTGAGTTGCGGGGTGTATGGGTGAGTGTGGATGGAAGGGAGGGGGGTTGGATGTGAAAGAAGGATTGGGGGGGGCACTGGCTGTAGGGGGTTGGAACATGGAAGTGAAGGCGAGGAGGAATAAGATTTTTTAGGGCAGCCTTGCTCGCCTTGGCCCTCCAGCATCAGAGCCACCATCTCAGCCTCGTACATGAAGCAGCTGGCAGCGCCCACCATTAGCTCTTTCTCCTCTCATCCTCCTCATCCACTGCCCACTTTCCCCCCCACCACTTCCTCTACCCCCCCTTCCTGCTCCCCTCACCCCCCAGCATCACAGCCACCATATCTGCCTCATACATGAAGCAGCTGGCGGCGCCCACCATCACGTCCTTCTCCTCCACGGGCCCCAACGTCGACCCTGCCCTAAACTCCTCTTTGGCTTCACACACACGCTCAGCTCACTCACAATTTCACCCCCTTGCTCCTCCCCTCCTCCCCACCCACTTCCCCCTGCTGCCCCTGCCCCTTCTGCCCTGCCCACCTGCTCTCCTGCCCCCTTCACCCCCCCAGAATAAAAGCCACCATATCGGCCTTGTACATGAAGCAGCTGGCGGCGCCCACCGTCACGTCCTTCTCCTCCACGGGCCCCAACGTCGACCCCGTGTTGGACGCCCAGGAGGGCGGCAAGTACTCCTTCGGATACAACGACATCTTAAAGCCCGACATCACCGCACCGGGACTCGAGGTGTGGGCTGGGTGGACCCAGTCGCCCTTCCAGGAGCCTTATGGGATTGCTTCAGGCGTTGTCCCTGCTGCCTCCATGTCCCACCTCTTGATTAGTGGGACCTCCATGTCCTGCCCACACATCTCCGGCCTCGCCGCAATTATCAAGGGGAAATACCCCAACTGGTCGCCCTTTGCCCTGAAATCCGCGCTCATGACCACGGCGTACACCCAAAACAACCGGAACAAGCCCATTTATTCCGCAGGGCAGCTACGAGCGGCAGACCCCTTTGATTACGGCACGGGGCATGTCAACACGATTAAAGCCCTGGATCCCGGGCTAGTGTACGACTCTACAGTGCTGGAGAATGTGAGGTTCCTTATAGCGGTGGATAGTGCGGATGCGAAGCAAACGTCGGCGTACTGGGCGGTTGACAAGGACAAAAGGACGCCGCTGAACCATCCGTGAGTTGCCCTTTCTTCTCTCTCCGCCGTTTCTCTGTTCCTGCGCATGTCTGTACTTTCCCTCTGGCCTAGCTTGTCTGAATTCTTTCCGAGTCATGCTTCTGTGGTCTTCTGTTATATTGTTGACGAAATATAATATGTTTTTCTCTCCTCCTGATTTCAGGTACGACTTGAACCAGCCAAACATTGCCGTGAGCAATCTCCGAGGATCTACCATGGTATCGCGGACCGTAACAAATGTTGCTAAAACTGCAAGCACATATACTGCACAGGCTTCGCAGCCTAAAGGCGTGACTGTAACGGTGGCACCTTCGTCCTTCACGATTCAACCAGGAGCCAAGATGACATATACAGTCACATTCAAAGTGGTAACGCAGTCTGTGAAGTTTGCCTTCGGCAGTCTTGTTTGGACTGATGGAAAGCACTCAGTGCGCTCTGTGCTAGCAGTTCAACCCTTTCGCAAGTAGCTGTTGACCTTTAAAGGTCAACCATTAGAGGCCCCTCCAGTTATTTTTGAAACAATGTCTTGTTTTTTATTCAATAATTAGTTTACGTGCTGTACAAAGCACCTCACAGCACGGGCTTATATCTCGTCGCCTCATCGTCGTCCAGCTTTTTCTTCGCTCATCAGAAACTGCCGCAACCGCAACCACATATCGTTAGGTCAAATCACGTGAAATCGCCGCCTCTTACCAGAGTCGCCAGGCATCGCCAGCCTGCGAAGCTCGTCGCTCAGTCGTCCAGCTTCCATCGCACACCACACCAGCCCCCAGCCATGCCGGACTGACCAGTCAAATATCGACTGTCGCGCTTTTTCCCTCCCACCCACCTCAGTTGTTCCTTCTCGTCCGTACTTAGCATCCTTCCTGTAGTTCCCTATCACTTCTCCTGCCTTGCTCGCTCGAGTCGTACGGACGTCACCTTTGTCATAGTCCTTTTGTACGTCAATGAGACCTAATTAGTTTCCGTTGAAGTGTCCAAAGTGTAACCTTAATCGCCGTGGTTATTTATTTGCCTTGACTAATGCCTCATTGCGACGCGAACCACCGCTGTTCTTTCGCCAATTGTATATTTTCCTGAGACCGGTACACCTTACATAATTTCCTCGCTAAACCGCTACCTGAATCAGTAAACTCCTTAGTCGATTACTCGCGCCTTCTATACTTCTCCGAGTCGCGATACCAGCGAGCCGCCATGTTTAAGAACTTCTACGGCCAATCGCAGCCGCCGAGGTCGCCGTCGAAACCGCCGGACGCGGCGGCGAAATTCCTCGCGCACTCGCGGAGCATGCCGCCGTTCCGCAACCCCGCGGCCGCCGGCGCAGCGGGCGCAGGCGGAGGCGCAGCGGGGAGCTTAGCCCCCCCGCTCCCCACGACACTCTCGTCCTCCTCCTCCGCCTCCGCCACTCCGATTTTTAACGACGAGCCGACGAGCGATATCCATATCGAGATCTTAAACCGTAAGGGGGAGCTGCACGCGGTTCTTAATCTCCACACCTCCGTGCTCCGCGAGCAGAGCGACTATTTCTTCAACGCGCTCGCGAAGCGCGCCGTGCGCGACCCGATCCAAGGCGCGACGATCTCGCACGACGCCGCGGGCACCACCTTCACGATCCAGGCCAGCGGCCACGTGGCAGACCCCGACGCTTACGTGTCAACCTTCCGCATGTTCTACCTAGAAGAGGAGGAGCTTCCCGACGAGATCCAATGCTTAGGCTCCGTATGGCGCGTTCTAGAAACCCTAGTAGTTTCCTCGGAGCTACAGTTCCACATGTGCACGAGCGCGTGCGTGGATTACCTCGAATCTGTACCGTGGAACGACGATGAGCTGGAGGAGATCCTACGGCTGGTATCGCAGCTGGAGCATCTGCAGGACGCGCGGCCGATCCTCGACCGTCTGCCGGTGCGCACGTGGGACGAGGAGAGCATCTCCGACGCGCTTCGCATCCTGCTCATCCGCGCCGTCGCGTTTCACGACAGCCGCCAGGGCGCGGGGAAGGCGGAGGGGGAAGAGTCCGCGGGGCGGGGGGCGGTGGGGGCGGGAAGGGGCGGCGGAAAGGCGGCGGAGGTGGCTCCGGGGACGATTGAGTGCCGGGAGGCGGCGAGCGCGATCCTGCGGAACCGCCACGAGCCGACTCTTAGTCTTAAGACCAAGAAGGCGGTTCTTAGAGAGACGTTCGTCGACCTCCTACAGTGCCTTTGGTCCGAGCAGCGGGAGTTAAAGCGTAGAAACTCGTCGTGCACGCGCGCCGCCGCGGCTGCTATGGCAGGAGCGGGAGCGGGCGGGGGCGCGGGAGGCGGAGCGCCGAGCCCGTCCCCGCGCACCCCTAGAGACACTCCGCTTCCTGTCCCCGCCACGTCCCCCGCAGGGGCGCGCGGGGAAGCCTCCCCCGCCGCGCAGCATGACGCCCCCGCGCCGTCCCCGCGCCCGCGGGGGGAGGAGCAGGCAGGCGCGGGTGGCGGGGGGTTGAGCGGGGATGACGAGGGGATGCTGGAGATGGTATACGGGGCGCAAGGCGCGCTGACGTGGCTCGTGGGGCTGATGCTCGAATTCGCAATGGCGGACGAGGTCTTTAAGTGGCTCGCTACCGATAACGAGTTCGTCTCACAGGTTCGGCAGAGCTGCTCCCTGACGCAGCGGCAGGCTCGGGCCGAGCCTGCCGATTCGGAGGGCCTGCTGGCAGCCCAGGCGGTAGGTCCGGGATTCGCTAAGAGCTTCAGTTTCTCGACGCAGGGGCTGGAGACTGTTAACGAGGATGAGGGGGGCGCGGAGGGCGGGGCGGGGGAGGGGGAGGATGGCGGGTTAGACAGTGTTGGGACTCCGGGGAAAGGGCAGGCAGGGGGAAGCGGAGGGGGAGGCGGAGGGGGAAGCGGAGGGGGGAGTGGAGGGGGAGGGGTGGGGGCGGCAGCGGGGGCGGTGCCTCCGGGGGCGCTGTACGTGGTGAAGTCAGCGCTAGTGGGAACCATGAGTGCAATGCTATCGAAGCGGCTTGTAGCGAATCCGCAGCTGCGCGTGTCGTTTGTGCGGCTGTGGCTGCCCGTGCTGCTGGAAATCTGCACGTCTGTTAGCAGTCGCGGTGGCAGCATCGGGAGAAACGGCAGCAACGGGAGCAGCAGCAGCAGCAGCAGCAGCAGCAGCAGAGAACACCCTTCATCCACCCTTGCTCAACCTGCTCCTACTAGCACACCCAACGCCAAATCCCAACAGCAGCACCACCAACAGCAGCAGCAGCAGGTGCGGTACCAGCTGTTAGGTTTCGACCTAACCCCAGAGGAGCGGACAGCACTAGTGTCCGGATTCAATGAACTTGTTCTCACCCTGCCGGCTCACGAGCAGCTCAACACCTACACCCTCTGGTATCAAATCGCCTTCTGGACAAAACACGCCGGCCCTTCCCCCCACGCCCTCCCGCCCCTGCCGTCGCCTATTGCCGCCGCTGCTGCTGCCGCCCGCGCCTCTCTCTTCTCCTCCCGCCCTGCGCTCCCGGAGCTCGCGATTCCAGAAGTGGGAGGGGCGGAAGGGGGAAGCGGAGGGGGAAGAGGAGGGGGGAGTGCAGCAGGGGTGGTTGAGAGGGAGGAGAGCTGGTTCAACCTGTCTTATGCTTATCGTAAGTGGCTCACTCGGCTGGGCAGGCCCTTCTGAGTTCTGAGGCGGCTTAAATGGGGGGTGGTGAGAGGGAGGATCGAGGATGTTATTGATCGACTAGAGGAGAGCTACTTGGGCCTGTAGTATGTGTCATTCGGCCCGTGCGACTGTAGTATCAGAATGGCTCATTCGACTGGGCAGGTCGTGCGGAGTTCCGAGACGTCTCAAAAGAGGGTGGGGAGAGAGACGAGTGCTAAGGGAGGGAGAGAAGAGCGTTTTAAAAGGGAGTGGTGAGAGGGAGGAGTTTGAGGCACCTCAATAGGGGGGTGATGGGAGGGCGGATGTCTGTCGTATGCGGATCCAACTGGCTGGTTCAGCCGTGCAGGCGGTGCTGAGGCAGGTTGTGCTGAGGCAGGTTGTGCTGAGGCAGGCTGTGCTGAGGCAGGCTGTGCTGAGGCAGGCTGTACTATTGAGGCGGTACGGTATTGACAGCTGAGGGTGCTGTGGTGCGGCTTAGGCTTGCTTTGCATGGGGTCACGTCACGTCACGGGCTCAGCAGAGCGCATTGCAATAACGCTCAGCTCAAGCTGAGGGTGCATGGGGTCATGGGGTCACGGGCCACAATGCGGCTTAAGCTGTATGTGGTCAATGCACAATGCAGACTGCTGCATCTGCAGGGCTCTCAGGGGACGGGGATTTTGGATTCTGCTCATTTAGACACGGGGCAATACGTACGCATGGCACAGGGTGGTGGTGGGTTGTCTCGGGTGGTTGATGGCTCTTCACTGCCCCTTTCCCGGACCGTGTGCAGTGCGCGTGTCTAGACATGAACTCGGCACAGCACATGTGCCTGGTGCCACATCTGTTACCCATTCTGACTGCCCTCCCACCCACTCGTGCTGATGCTCCACGGCCCTTAGCCTCTCACCCAACACGCCCTGCCCTGTAGCTTGCTGTCTTCTTTCTACGCTTCCCAAGTCTAGTTCCTACAGCTGATCTTTGAGCCTGCTTGTAGCGAGTATTTTGATGACTCGCCTTCACCTACTATATCATGTTCCTCTCTATCTCTGCAATTGGTGTGATGTGATGTGATGTGATGTGATGTGGGTAGGAGCATAGGAGGTTAGGAAGAGCATTCGCCATTCTCCCTGTATGGATGGATACTGCTGTACCAGTGGCTGTTACTGTTCTAACTGCGCCTGAACCTCACTTGTTTACCTTGCCATTCTCACTGCGCTTGCAAGTTGCGACTTGCAAAGCAACCCTCCATTGCTGGCAATACAGCCTCCTCCCTTCCGCAACTAAAGTCTAGCAGTTTCGTTCTCATTTTCGCATTTCACAGTCTCATCTCTCAAGATGGTTGAAATGCAACAGCAGCTGCAGCAACAAGAAACACTACAGCACCACCATGGTACATCTCATGATTTTTTTTTCCAGGTCATTTTGGTTTCCGGGCAGAAAGGACATGCGAGGGCAGCATGAAAGCATTCGGACCGGGAGTCACAACGACATGCTTCCATCCCAGAGACCTGAAATACTCTGCATAGGCGGGCACGTGCAAAACGTCCCATACTATCACCCTCCCCCCCGGCTTCAACACTCTCACCACCTGCTGCAGCACCCGCTGCCTCTCCTTTTCCGCTGCTTGTGGGTCTGAGTCTTCTAACACCTGTCATGTGGATGGTGGGGCAGAGAAAGGAGGGGGACGGGGGAGGGGGGAAATAAGGAAAGGGAGTGGGAAGTCCACAGCACCACCCTCTTCCCCGGCTTCAGCACTTGAGCACTCTCACCACCTGCTGCAGCACCCTCTGTCGCTCCCTCTCTCCTGCTGGTGGATCTGTGTCCTCTAGTACCCGTCATGTGAGTGGGGGGGCAGAGACAGGAGGGGAAACGAGAAAGAAAGGGGTCAAGGGAAGGGGGTAAGGGAGTGGGGGAGAGAAGGATGTATTTTGAGGCGCCTCAAAATACACCTCACTGAAAGGGGTGAAGGGAAGGGGGTAAGGGAGTGGGGGAGAGAAGGAAGAGGAAGAAGAGGGAGAGGGAGTGAGGATCCCGCAGCACCACTCTCACTCCCTGCTGCACCACTTGAGCTGCACCCCAAGCACCATGTGACATGAGACACGGCACATGAGACACGGCACATGAGACACGGCACATGAGACACGGCACATGAGACACGGCACATGAGACACGGCACATGAGACACGGCACATGAGACACGGCACATGAGACACGGCACATGAGACACGGCACATGAGACACGGCACATGAGACACGGCACATGAGACACGGCACATGAGACACGGCACATGAGACACGGCACATGAGACACGGCACATGAGACACGGCACATGAGACACGGCACATGAGACACGGCACATGAGACACGGCACATGAGACACGGCACATGAGACACGGCACATGAGACACGGCACATGAGACACGGCACATGAGACACGGCACATGAGACACGGCACATGAGACACGGCACATGAGACACGGCACATGAGACACGGCACATGAGACACGGCACATGAGACACGGCACATGAGACACGGCACATGAGACACGGCACATGGCACATACTGAAGCAATGGCATGGAGGGGTGCAACGAAGCAATGGCATGGAGGGGTGCAACGAAGCAATGGCATGGAGGGGTGCAACGAAGCAATGGCATGGAGGGGTGCAACGAAGCAATGGCATGGAGGGGTGCAACGAAGCAATGGCATGGAGGGGTGCAACGAAGCAATGGCATGGAGGGGTGCAACGAAGCAATGGCATGGAGGGGTGCAACGAAGCAATGGCATGGAGGGGTGCAACGAAGCAATGGCATGGAGGGGTGCAACGAAGCAATGGCATGGAGGGGTGCAACGAAGCAATGGCATGGAGGGGTGCAACGAAGCAATGGCATGGAGGGAAGGGCCGGCGGTCAAAGAGACCCGTCTTGCATGAAACCACTGAAGCAGTGGCATTAAGCGGCGTACCGAAGCAATGGCGTGCAGGCGAAGGGCAGAAATAACAACGTCAAAGTAGCTGTCAGGGAAGGGCAGGCGGTCAAACGCCCCTGTCTTGCACGTCACGAGCGCCCCCACGCCCTCCCTCGCTGCTGCTCTCAGCGCCCCCGCCATGCTCCCCACTGCTGCCGCTGACACTGCTGCTAGCCCGCTCGCTGGAGCAGCAGCAGCAGGAGCAGGGGAAATTGTTCCGGCCGAACTCCTGCCTGGGTGGCCTGCTTTGGCTTTATCCGCCCTTCTGTGCCGCACGTGCCTCCCACTGCTGCTGCTGCTGCTGCCAGTGGCGCCAGCGTCTACGGAAGCACCATCAGCCCCACCAGCAGCACCACCACTGACACTATCCCCAGCATCAGCATCACCAGCACCTGCATCTGCACCTTTTAAAGCTCTGCTCCGTTCCACTTCCAATCTGCTTCCACCTTTAACCCCACCATTGGCACCACCACCAGCAGCACGGCTCTTGGTCTCCCAGCTATCAAACCCAATCGCCCGCCCCTCCCCTCCACACTCCAGTAGTTGCAGCCCCAGGCTTGCTAGCAGCACCCCACGGCCGCTCCCCAGGTCCAGAGCGGTGCGGACCGGTTGCCAGGCGGGCACGAGCGCGAGCATGTGGCGGGCGAGGCGGGGGCGGAGGAGCAGGGAGGTGCGGAGGTTGGCGGAGAGCGTGAGGGAATAGGCGAAGGCGAGGAGGAGAGCCAAGGCTGCTGAGAACCCCACGAGGAAACTGGTGAGCTGCGGATGTGAGGAGGGGGAGGGGAATGGGGGAAGTGGGGAAATTAAGGAATCAAGGAAGCGCGGATGAGAGGAGGGGGGAGGAATCAAGGGCCTGAATGAGTGGCTGACTGAATGGCTGACTGACTGACTGACTGACTGACTGACTGACTGATTGACTGAATGGCTGGCTGACTGACTGACTGACTGACTGACTGATTGACTGAATGGCTGGCTGGTTGATTAACTGACTGACTGAGTATTCTCACCGCGAAACACCAGTGCGTGCCGCGTGCGTACCTGCGCCGGCAGCAGCGGCCGGAGGCGGCGGACGAGCATCACAGCAGCAGCGTAGCGCCCGAAGAGGGTTGCGGCGAGGATGAATGAGAGCAGCGACTGGGCCACCAGCACCGCCACCTTCCCAGCAGTACAGTGCCTCAGACCATACCGTACCGTACTGCACCGTACCTGCGCCGGCAGCAGAGGCCAGAACCGCCGAACCAGGTTGACAGTAACAGCGTAGCGACCGAAAAGGGTCGCGGCGAGGGCGAAGGAGAGCAGCGACTGCGCCACCAGCAGCGTCACCTTCCCCGGGAAGTCGATCCCGTAGTACGCGCGCAGGCGGAAGCTCGGCGGCGCCCGCTGCGCCGCCATCGCGCGCTCCACCCGTGCGCGGACGAAGGGGTGGGGAGAAGAGGCGGAGGGGCGGAGGGGGGCAGAGCGGGTGGACTGGGAGGAGCAGTGGAACGGCAAAGCGGGGTAATGGGGAGACCGCGCGGGGAAGGGGGGGATGGCGCGTGGGGGGTTGGAATTCGGCGAGTCGATTGCAGCAACGAAGCAGCGTCAAGCCGACGGCTGTGATGATAGAGTCCGACGAATCGCCTGGATTGTCGTCGTTGTTGTGCTTCGTCGCGCGCGCCTAGGACGGCTGTTTACGATCGAACCGAAAGATCCTCGGAAGCAGGAGCGCGCTGATTGCGCTGCGTTGATTCGTACTGCTGATCAGCAGGATAAGGGTGGAAAGCGGGGGAGTGGGGAGAGAAAGGAAGCGGGCAGTTTAGCAGCGAGGGACGCGGGGAGAAGCGCGATCGCCGTTGCTGCGAGCCGTGAGATCTGCGTCGAAGCACAATTCTAGCGAGTTCACCGATCACAATACGCTTCAATCTGGAATTCGGGGGGATCTACGAAACTGGAATCCTGACCGCTCGTTGTGTTGGAATTCACTGGAGATCGGCGCGATCGAAGTGGAATGCAGCGAGAATGACTTGAATGAATGGTGGGTGGACGAGAATTCCCCATTTGACGAGAAACCCGTAAATCGTTATTGCTGAATCAAGTTTATCAGGCCTTATTATATATGCCGAGTTTCAGAGTAAGCTACAAAAATCATGACAGGGTGGTGTGCTCGTTTACTTACAACAGCAGCCTACATGTCATTAATAATCTTCTTATAAAACCATCTCTTATCGGAATCCTCTACAGCGAGTGCTCTCTCGGTCAGAACTTGCTTTATTCTACACATTGATGCCTTCACCTGCCACATGGAGAATGAATGCATGAGCACATGTGCACACGCAAAATGGGGACGACAATTTTAAGTGGATGAGGGAACCTTCTAAGGTCTAAACACGACGAGCCTGAATATTTAAAGACAACACAACCAGGAGCGCGGGACGCAAGAAAGGGGCCTTCAAGGGGGGCGTGGGGGGGAAGAAGAAGCGTAGGAAGAAAAGAGGAGAGAGGGAGAGGAGAGGGGAGAGGGGAAAGGATGAAGAGAAGGACGGGCGGTTAGAGGACAAGACGGGATATAGCGAAGGAGGGGGCTGAGGACAGGGCGAGCAGGAAAAGGATATGATCAGGGAAGGGGCAGCAGGCAAGAGCGAGGGGAGCAGGGAATACTCGACAGGGGGATGCGGTGGGGCTGCACCATGCAGCGCCCCTGCAGGGGCCTTTGAGAGACCACTTCTAGGCGGGCAAGGACGGACGGATAAAGAGAGCGGCGGGACTCACGAGGCGGATGCGGTGGAAGCGGCAAGGGAAGGAGGGAGGGGGGTGGGGGAGAGAAGAGAAGGGGCGAACTCACGAGGCGGATGCGGTGCGGCTGCACCATGCGGCGGCCCTGCGACTGCAGCATCTGCTTCTGCGAGTAGAGCAGGTTCTTCTCCTTGAGCAGCACGTACCACAGCCCGTGCAGGTCCTCGAACGACTTGTGCCGCAGCTCCCACGCCTGCCATCCCCGTCCTGGGTGTGTTGAGGAGAGGTGAAGTGGGTGTGGGACGGTGCAGTGGGGTGAAAGCAGGTCGTGTACGCACGAATCGTGCCCCAGCTCCTACGCCTGCCATTCTCGGGCTGTGTGTCGGGGGAAACGGAGGGGGACCGGGAGGCGTGGTGGGGCGAAAGCAGGTGTGGTGTACGGACGAGCAATTGGAATCTTAACTGTTGTCGCACGCCGCACGCATCGCGTCAGTAGCACAGAACTCAGACCCTACGGATCATTGAAACACAGACGGACAAGTAGTAGGCCCTGCGTGCGAGCCATGAAGTAAGTTCTGCCGATGGTGATCCCTAACGGCGGTGAGCCCTACCGGTGGTGACGGACGCGTCGGGCGTGCGACCCTGTTCGAAGAAATCCGCGAGGCCGCTCTGCTGCCCGCTCAGCTGCCCGCTCTGCTGCCCGCTCTGGTGCCGCCGCTGCTGCTGCAGTGCTGCGGGCAGCGACGGTCCTACCGCCACGGCGCCGCGCTGCTTCACCGCATTGCGACACGTGGCGGAGAGCACCCTCGCGAGATGCATCCGTGGCAGGCAGCGGTGACACGACAGCAGCTATCCAAGGAAGCACGACGTGAAAATTTCGTTGGATGCCGAGACGCAAATCCCTGCAGGGTGGGCGAGGGCTACTCTTGTTCGGGATAGGTTTTAGCTGTGAAACAACGGGGAGGGAACATGAACTGAATGTGTATTTTCCAGCTAGTGTGTGTGCGATGGTGCTTATTAGATTCAAAACTAATGTCGAAGCATTTAATAGCGATTTTTTTTTCCTCGAACCAGAGCTCTTTCAAAGCCTGACAGATCTGGTTTCCCTCGGAGGCTCGGCATTACGTTCGTTCTGGCAACAAATGCTTCCTTGTGTCCGTTCGATAAGGACGCGAACTACGGAAAGCCCTTCGATGTCATAGCCTTGGTCAAGCTGTTTATCGCCCTTGCTGCATGCTAAACGAGACCGTCAATACCCTCGGCGAACCAGCTTGCTCGCTAGCTCCTCCCGCAAGGGAGGCTTCTTGCTGCTAAGAAGCCATTTTCTAGAATTATTTTCTCAGCAGACGACATTTTCAGGACTCGCTTGCTTCTCCTAACGACTCTACTTTCTCTCCGATCGTTCTTTCGTGCGCCCTTCGTTCGTTACTTGATCGCACGGCAGCAATCGGTTTTATTGAAATCCTAAGATTAGTCCGAAATATTACGTGACACTACTGCACTGGAGTTTCTTATTCTTGAAGCAGGAATCATAATGGAAGGCGGGTCTGAAAATCCCGAAGGCACAGGCGAGCAGGACCCCTATTTTCAAAGCCTAGACTCGTTCTCGAAAGCAGCTGATTTCCCGGAAATAGTACCCGGCGGTCTTTCCGGCGGTATCCAGGGCACTGAGTTACCAACAGATGACGTGTTCGGCACTCCCACACTTCCTGACGACGTGCTAGGAGGTGGCGCCACGTGGACCAATCCTCCACTAGTTACAGCCAATGGCGACGCTGTGGGTGATATTAATGCTTCGACTAAAGGTACTGACGGTGATGCCGCTACCGCTGCTAATCGTTCTGACCAAGGTAACCCCTGGGACATATCCGATGGTGACGCTGACGCTGATGCTGCTGACGCTGACGTGACTGACGCGGCTGGCGATTCCGTTCCTGCAACCACTCCCGCTGATCTCCATATGACAGCTGAATCGCCGATTAACACTGTACGAGCTTCTGACCAGCGGGTTTTACATGATGATACTATAACGGGGATGGCGACAGCCGCTGAGAACAAACTCCCTGTAGCTGGACTTACGAATAATGGAGAAGCCGAAGAGGAGGAAGAAGCAGGCGGCGCTTCACAGCGGGCCAGCGGAACGGCACGAGAAGAAGCAGCACAGTCGGCTCCCGACACGGCACGGGAAGAGGCACGGCCAGCTCAAGGCACGGCACGGGAAGAGGCAGAACCGGAAATGGTGGTGGAGGGGAGTGGGGGAGAGGCTGGAACGACACCAGGCGAGGCGCAAAGGCAGGGAGAAGGCGCCGGGAGGGTTGGCGCAGAAACGGGGACATCTGTCAAAGATGAGGAGAGTGGCGGAGAGGCGCGACAGAAAATGACGGCAGAAGCAGCGACCGAGGCGGATCGGCCTTCCCCAGAGGGTCAGGGCTCCGCACAGGCAGGCGGGGGTTCGGTCGGGAATGGAGTTGCTGCCGCCGCTGGTGATGGTAAAGGTGGCGGTAATCGAAACGCCAACCTTCCGAGCACGCCGCTTCCCACTCCGCCTGAAGCCCGCTTGCCCTCAGCCGCTCGCCTCTCGCCCGGGTCTCCTGCTGGAGCCGACGCTGATGCTGCTGCTTCTGCTGCTGCTGCTGCTGCTGCTGCTGCTGCTGCTGCTGCTGCTGCTGCTGCTGCTGCTGCTACGCCTATGGCCTTTGATGCTCCAACGTTTGATGATTTAGACTTCGAAACACCTGCGACGGGCGTCAGCACACCTTCGACAACCGTCAGCACCCCTGCTACAGCCGTCAGCACCCCTGCTACAGCCGTCAGCACCCCTGCTACAGCCGTCAGCACCCCTGCTACAGCCGTCAGCACCCCTGCTACAGCCCCTGCTACAGCCGTCAGCACTCCTGCTACAGCCGTCAGCACTCCTGCTACAGCCGTCAGCACTCCTGCTACAGCCGTCAGCACTCCTGCTACAGCCGTCAGCACTCCTGCTGACACCCCGAACGCAACAGCCACCGCCACTCCTGCTGCCACCCCCTCAGCCACTTCTGCTGCCACTCCTTCCGGCACTCCTGCTGCCACCCCCTCCGCCACTCCTGCACCTGCAGCGGACGGCGTCACCACTCCCTTAGCCTCGCCGCTTCCTGCTGCTCCCTCTTCCACCCCTCCTGCTCCCACTCGCTCCGCCACTCGCGCAGCCACTCCCGCCGCCACTCCTGCTGCCACCCCCGCCGCCACTCCTGCTGCCACTCCCGCCGCCACTCCTGCTGCCACTCCCGCCGCCACTCCTGCTGCCACTCCCTCCCCCACTCCTGCTGCCACCCCCGCCGCCACTTCTGCAATCCTGTTCGCCACTCCTGCTCCTGCAGCGGACGGCGTCACTACTCCCTTAGCCTCGCCACTTCCTTCGGCTGCCACTCCCACCCCTCCTTCCGCTGCCACTCCCACCTCTCCTTTCGCTGCCACTCCCACCCCTCCTTCCGCTGCCACTCCCACCTCTCCTTCCGCTGCCTCTCCCGCCACTCCTGCAATCCTCTTCGCCACTCCTGCAATCTTCCTCGCCACTCCTGCACCTCCAGCGGACGGCGTCACTACTCCCTTGGCCTTGCCGCTTCCTGCCGCTGCCACTCCCACCCCTCCTACGGCTCCCACTCCCACCCGTCCTGCCGCTGCCACTCTCACCCCTCCTGCTGTTCCCGCTCGCACTCCTCCTGCTGCTCCCGCTCCCACCCCTCCTGCTGCTCCCACTCCCAACCCTCCTGCCGCTCCCACTCGCACCCCTTCTCCTGCTCCCATCCCTCTCCCTCCCGCTGCTGCGCCGTACCTGGGCAAACTGGTTCGGAAGAGGTTCGGCGACGTGGTGTTTCTGGGTCGGGTGTTTGAGTACGACCGGGAAGAGGGGTGGTACAAGGTTCGGTACGAGGATGGGGATTTGGAGGATTTGGAGGAGGGAGAGGTGGTGGCGCTGCTGCTGGGGCAAGAGGAGGAGAAGGCTGCTGCTGCGGAAGTTGATGCCTGGTGAGCTTTTGAAATAGAGGATGGGATGGAATGAGGGATGGGATGGGTTTTGATTGATGAGTGTTGTGGGAGGTGGTGGCGCTGCTGGTGGGGCAAGAGGAGGAGGAGGCGGCTGCTGCGGAAGTTGATGCTTGGTGAGATGGTGACACAAGGGATGGGTGGGGTATGGTGGGATGCGATGGGATGGGGTGAAATGTGATTTTGTCAACGGGAAGCATTGGGGCGTTCCTTTGTGATGCCGTGTTTAGCACGTAGTTACATTTGGCTCGATTTGAAAGAAGCCATCTCCTTATCTCCCCTGTTCATGTCTTGCGGTCCGCAGCAAAAGCGCCAGGCGTTTTTCAGCGAGGCAGAGGAGAGGAGACCGTGTGTGTGCTTTTTAGTTATATATATATATATATAGATAAAATTTCTGCACTGTATTTCTCTGCTCCACGTCCCTCAGGCCGCAGCAAAAGCGCCAGGCGTTCTTCAGCGAGGCAGAGGAGCCGGTGTTCGTTGAAGGCATGGCAGGGATGGAAGAGGGAGAGGGGGCCGCAGGAGGGGGAGAGGGGGCAGCGGGAGGGGGAGAGGGCACCGCGGAACGGGGAGATGGAGTGGAAGGAGGGGCGGAGGTGGCGCGTGAGGGCAAGACGGAAGGGCAGGAGCCGGCAGGGAAGGCGGAGCAGCCGTTGGCAGCGGGCGGTGCTGGCACGGCTGCAGCAGAGGAAGGAGACGGGGCTGAGAGTGTAGGTGCAGGGGGGGATGGTGCTTTGCCTGGCACTCCCACCACACCTGGTGGGGTAACCGAGTCCGGTGGGCTGATCACACCTGGCTCGCCAGTTACGCCAGCTGGGTTGCTATCAGCTTCAGCCTTGCCCTTCTCTGGAGCGCTCTCAGCAACACCACCGTCAGCCGTACCGCCAGCAGCCACACCGCCAGAGGCAACAGCAGCAGCAGCAGCAACAGCAGCGCCAGTGGCAGCAACAGCAAAGCCAGCGGCAGCAACGCCAGTGGCAGCCTCAAGGCGGAGAGCTGCCACCGCTGGTCCCAAAGCCAAGGTTCGCCGAGTCAAGTCGCCGGTTACCTCGGCCGCGGTAACCAGAACACGTGTAACCAGGACCGCTGTAACCAAGAGCCCGGCTCGAGGCGGCCGGAAGGTCACAACGCCTGAAGCCAAGAGCCCTGCTGCTGCTACAAGCGCTGCCACAAGCCCTATTGAAGGGCTTGTGAAGGGTGCTGCCAAGACCCCTCCTAGAAGTGGTGCTAAGAGCCCTGCTAAGTCCCCTGCTAAAAGCCCTGCTAAGTCCCCTGCTAAAAGCCCTTCTAAGTCCCCTGCTAAAATCCATGCTAAGTCCCCTGCTAAGAGCCCCGCGAGAACCCCTCCCAAGGGTGCTGCCAGTACGCCTCGTACTAGGGCTGCCATAAGCGCCGCTAGGAGCCCTACTAAGACTCCTCCTGCCAACAGCACTGCCAGAACCCCGCGCAAGAGTTCTGCCTCGAGACTTGCTAAGTCCCCTGGTAAGAGCCCTGCCAAGACCCCTATGAAGAGCCCTGCTAAGAGCCCTGCTTATAGCCCTGCTAAGAGCCCTGCTTATAGCCCTGCTAAGACCCCTCCTAAAAGCGCTGCTAAAATCCCTGCGAAAACCCCTCTTGGGAGCGCTGCTAAGATCCCTGAAACGAGCCCTGCCAAGAGCCCACGGCTCAGTTCTGGTAAGGCGACGCCCAGCAAGAGACAGGCTGAGGCAGCAGCAGAGGGCGGCAGTGCTGCTAAGAGACGGTCTCTTGGGAGACAGTCCGTGGGTAGTAGCAGTGTGGGGCGCAGCACTGCTAAGGCGGATGCTGCCAAGGCTGCTATCGGAGGTGCTTGGGATGCCATGATAGGGACGGGCAGGCGGGCGGCAGGAGCAGGGAAGAGAGCAGGGGCGGTGAAATGGGTGACTCCTGTCAGGCGGGGCGAAAAGAGGGGCGGCAGGGGGTGTCGGGGTTATGGGGCGGGCGGCAGGGGGAGTGGCGCGGGCGGCAACAGGAGTGGGAAAGAGGAAGAGCAAGAGTTTTTCAAGGCGTGTGTCTGAAGGCGTGGGAGTGAAACCAGTGAGACTGCTGCTGGGAGGGCAGAGAGCACAGGGTGAAGCAGGGACGCCGGGCAAACCAGGGACACCAGGCAGAGCAGGAGGGGCAGCTAAGGCAGCTACAGCAGCAACGCCAGCGAGGGTGAAAGTGAGTGTTTGGGAAAACTGTGTGATGTGCTGTGAAGGTGAATGTGAGTGAGTGAGAAGACACTTGCTGTGAGGTTGACAGCGCTTGTCTACGAAGACTCTGTGCTACTTCCACTCCCCTAACTCACATCCTCTTCCCCTCCCTTCCCTTTATCTCCGCCCCTTCCACCCTCAGACCCCCCTTTCCCGAGGCAGGGCGCCCCTCGTCGACCGGTCCTCCCGCCACGCGCTGACAGCAGCAGCAAAGCCCAGAGTGCTCAGCAGGCTGCTGTCAGTGGAACCCAGGCTTGGACCTCGCTCCTCTCCGTCCCCTCATCCCCCTCCCACTTTCTCTCCCGCACCTTCTCCTGCTCCACTTGCTGCTTCGACTCCCCTAACCCACAGAATTTTCCCTTCCTTTGCTCTCTGTGCCTTTCGTGTTCAGACCCCCCTTTCTAGAAGCAGGGTCCACCCGTCTTCCCGCCACGCGCTCACAGCAGCGGCAAAGCCCCGAGTGCTCACCAGGCGGCTGTCAGTGGAAGCCAGGCGCCTCTCAGCTGCCGCCACTCCGCCTCCCCGTCCCACTCCTACTGCTCCTTCCCCTCCACCTGCTCTCGCCTCTCCTGTTGCCTCCACTCCCCTAACGCGTCGTTCACGAGTGAGTGATAGGCTGTCAGTGGAAGCCAGGCGCCTCGCAGCTGCCCCCACTCCTCCTCTCGCCTCTCCTGCTGCGTCCACTCCCCTAGCACGTCGTTCACGAGTGAGTGATAGGCTGTCAGTCACTCCCACGCACGCGGCACCTGAGGTGCCTCAAAAGTCGTCAGTCACTCCCAGGCGCTCCAGTGCAGGGGCAGGAGGGAGAGGCGCTGCTGTAGTGGTAGCAGCGGCAGAATTGCCTGCTGAGTCACCTGCTACGACCCCTGCCAAATCACCTGCCGCGACCCCTGCTAAATCACCTGCCAATTCCTCTCCAAGTTCACCTGCCAAGTCCCCTGCCAATTCACCTGCCTATTCACCAGCCAAATCCCTTGCCAAGTCACCTTACGGAAGAGCAAGCAGGTTCGCCCCCAAACCAACCAGTGCGTCCACGTCTGCATCGCCTGCAGAGGCCCCTTCCAAATCACCTGAAATAACACCTGAGAAAGGACAAAGCAAGGGGAGGAAGACCAGGGGCTCACGTGAACCTGCTGTTGTTGCTCCTGCTGTTGCTAGCCCTGCTGGTGCCTCAGGAATTCCAGAGGAAAGGCCCCTGAGGTCAAAGCGCAGAGCACTAGAGAGGGAGGAGGAGGCAGAGGAGGAGGGGAAGGGGACGGAAGGGGGAAGAGGTGGAGCAGGGAGGCGGGGAGATGCGAAGGAGCAACCTCAAGGGAAGAGGCGTAGGGTGACTCGTGTAGCTGCTGTTGCTGCTCTTGTTGCTGGTGGTTCTCCTGCTGTTGCTGGGACTCCTGGTGCTGCTGATGCAAGCGTGGGGGAGACGGAAAGTGTGGTTCGAACCAGGAGGGGAAGGAAGGCAGCAGCTACTGCACCAGCTGTAGCAGCAGCAGCTAGCAGAGCGACAAGGGCGAGCAGACGGGCAGTAGAAACAGCAACGGCAGAAGAACAAGTGGCTGTAATAGAAGTAGAAGAGGAGGAGGAGGAGGAAGAGGAGGAGGCAGTGGTGGTGGTGAGTGAGGTGCAACCAGTGCGAGGAAGGAGGGCCGTGCAGGGAGTGGCAGGGGAGGGAGATGTGCAAGAAGGGCCAGTGGAAAGGGAGGGAGGGGGTTCTGTTGGGCGCAGGAGGGGAGGAAGGGGAGGGAGAGGAGGAAGAGGAGGAAGAGGAGGAAGGGGTAGAAAGTCTTTAGAGGGAGTGGCAGAGGTGGGAGATGTGCAAGAAAGGGAAGTGGAACTGGAAGTGAGAGTGGGAGTGGAAGCAGTGGGGTCTCCTGCGTCTATGGGTGGGAGGGGCGGAAGAGGACGGAGAGGGCGCGGGGGGAGAGCGGCTGGGAGGGCACGAGGTGCAACGGAAATAGCAGCAGCAACTGCTGTGGAAGCAGCAGCACAGGTAGAAGAGGAGGAAGATGTAGAACTGGTGGAAGAGGATGCAGCAGTTGAGGCAGGGGAAGATGTGGAGGGGGGGGAAACGGTGGGGGAAGTGGAAGCTAGAGTTTCTGGTGGTCAGAGGGGTGCAAGGGGAGGACGAGGGAGGAGAGGGCGAGGAGGGAGAGGGGCAGGGATGAGGGCACGAGGAGCAAAGAAAGCAACTGAGCCAGCTGCAGCAGCATCTGTGGCGGACGAGGAGGAAGAGGAGGAAGAGGTGCAAGTGCTGGGAGAGGAGGGAGAGGAGGGAGAGGAGGGAGCAGTTGGAAGAGCTGTGGAGGGGGGTCAAGAGGTGGGTAACATGGAAGCTGGGGTTTCTGGTGGGCGTGGGCGTGGAAGGGGAGGACGAGGAAGGAGAGGGCGAGGGGGGAGAGGGGCAGGGGTTAGGGCTCGAGGAGCAAAGAAAACAAGTGAGCCATCAGCAGCAGCAACTGTGGCAGCAGAAGAGACTGCTTTGGAGGAGGAGGAAGAGGAGGGAGAAGTGCAAGTGGTGGGGGATGAGCGAGCAGTTGAGGCAGGGAAAGAAGGGGAGGGGGTTCAGGAGCTGGGGGAAGTGGAAGCTGGAGTGTCTGGTGGGCGCGGGGGTGGAAGGGGCGGACGAGGAAGGGGAGGACGAGGAAGAGGAGGACGAGGAGGGAGAGGGGCAGGTACCAGGGCACGAGGAGCAAAGAAAACAACAGAGCCAGCAGCAGCAGCAGCTGCGGCAGCAGAAGTGATGTCGGAAGAGGAAGAGGAGGAGGAGGTGCAAGTGGTGGGAGAGGTGGAAGCGGATGAGGTAGGGAAAGGTGGGGAGGGGGTTGAAGAGGTGGGTGAAGTGGTCGCAGGGGTTTCTGGTGGGCGTGGGGGTGGAAGGGTAGGAAGAGGAAGGAGAGGGCGAGGGGGAAGAGGGGCAGGGACTAGAGCAGCTCGAGGGGCAGCAGCAGCAGCTGAGCCAGCAGCAGCGGCAGTTGAGGTAACAGCTGCTGTTGCAGTAGACGAGAGTGGCAAGGGAGCAGCAGCAGGAGCGAGGCGGGGCAGGAAAAGGGGTGCTGGAGAGACAGGAAAGGCAGCTGAAGCGAGTACGGGGGGAAGGGACGAAGAGAGTGGGTTGGGCAAGAGAAGGCGTCGGGGAGGGCCTGGTGTGGCCACTACCCCTGCCCCTGCTGCAACTGCCGTTGCCCCTTCTCCTGTTGCTGTTGCCTCTGCTGCCCCTGCTGCCGATGCTGATGATATAGAGGAGGTGGTTGAAGTGGCTAGCACCAGGAGCACTCGAGGCAGCGCGGTGGGGCGGGCAAGGAGAGGCACTGCTGAACCTGCAGGAAAGGAAACTGGTGCTCGAAGGGGAGGAGCAGGAAAGGCGGGTGCAGAAAAGGCAGATGCGGGGAGGATGGATATGCCTGAGGCGGATGTGGGTGCAAGCAGTGGGAGAGGAGCGCGGCAGACAAGGCGGCGGGGTGCTGCAGCACCCACGTTTGCGTCACTGAATGCTGTCACTGCACGTGCCGCAGGATCAGCAGCAGCAGCAGCTGATGAGAAGCAAAAGGAGGCGGAGGATGAAGAGGATGGAGTGGTTGAGCTGGTTGTGACTCCTGCCCGCGCTCCTGCTGCTGGTGGTGGTGCCGGTGCTTCAAGAAAGACCCGGGCGAAGAGAGCAACTGCAGCTGCTTCCCCTCCTCCTCCTGCTGCTGCTGCTGCTTCCCCTGCCACTGCTTCTGGCAGTGACGACGCTGCTGCTGCTGAAGAAGCTGTTGCTGGTGTTGCTTCAAGGGGTGGGAGGGCAGGTGCAAGAGGAAGGGGTGGAGTAAGGGGGAGGGGCAGAGGAAGGGGTGGAGTAAGGGGGAGGGGCAGAGGAAGGGGAAGGGGCGGTCTTGTGAGTGCGCTGAGAGGCGGGAGGCAGGGAGAGGCGGGAGATCGACACGTGGGGTTTGTGGTGGGTACCCCGGGGGGTGGGCTGAGGCAGACACCTGGAAGGAGCGCGGGACGAAGGAAGAGTGATGTGATTGCGGCACGGGGAGGAGGGATGCTGTCTCCAGGCAGGGGTGGGGGAGGAAGGCGGAAGATTGATGTGGTAGCGGCCCGGGGAGGGGGAAGGGGGAGAGGGGTGCGGTTGAGAGGGCGTGGGCGGGGTCGTGGAGGAAAGGGGAAAACAGCAGTGGAGGTGGAGGAGGAGGGGGAGGAAGAAGAGGAGGAAGGGGAGGAGGATGAGGGGGTGGAGGAGGTGAGGGTGCTGGGAGAGATGGTTGACCTTGCATCAGAGGACGAGGAGGACGAGGAGGAGGAAGAGGACGAGGAGGAGGAAGAGGACGAGGAGGAGGAAGAGGACGAGGAGGAGGAAGAGGACGACGAGGAGAAGGTGGTTGATCTTGAAAGCGAGGAGGAAGAGGAGGAGGTACAGGTGGAAGAGAAAGAGGAGAAAGCGGAGAAAGCGGAGCAGGGAGGAAGGCAGAGGAGGGGTAGGGGCCGAGGGGCGAAAGCGAGAGCGGTTGAAAGCGGGGAAACTCGCCCAGTAGGAAGGGGGAAGGGGGCAAGAGGGGGAGCGAGTCCCGTCCAGAGAGGCGGCAGGGGGAGGGGAGGGGCAAGTCCTATGAAGAGAGGAGGTCGGGGTGGCACAGGGGCAAGTCCTATGAAAAGAGGAAGTAGGGGAGGAGGAGCGAGTCCTATGAAGAGAGGTGGCAGGGGAGGTGCAGGAGGGAGTGGCGTGAGCGTGGGGGGTAGGGCTGCAAGGGGGGCGAGTGGAGTGGTCAGGCGATCAAGTAGAAAGGCTGCTACTGATAAGTGAGAGACAGTTTTAGCTGAGACTGATCAATGAGTGGAGCGGTCAGGCAGTCAAGTGCTGCTTGGAGGGCTGCGGCTGGTAAGTGAGGTGGTTTTTGCTGGGGCCAAATCAGGGGAGTGAGCAGTTGGGTTTTGAGGCGCCTCAAAACTGGGCTGTGGCTGGTAATTGAGGTGGCTTTTGCTGGGGCCAAATCAGGGAGTGAGCAGTTTGGCTTTCGGGTGGGGGGAGGAGTGAGCGGTCAATAGGGCTGCTGCTGCTATGAGGCATGGTTTTGGCTTTGACCAAGGGCAGAAAAGTGAGCTATCAGCTGATCAACTTGGAGGGCTGTTGCTGCTGCTGAGTGCGAGATGGGTTAGGTGTGAGCATGAGTGTTGTCTAAGGGCATGTTCCTACAGCCCCTTATCAGGGACACCTCGTATCAGCTTCTCATTTTTGCCTGGTAAAATTCGCGAAGGTTTTTGGGTTTAGGGAAATTTCAGTGTGTTGTGACGCGAGCCTGATAAGAGGTTGGCCTGATAAGGGGCCGTAGGAACATGCCCTAAGAGGGGTGGACATGAGTGGAACGGTCAGACAACGGAATCGGAGGTGTGGATTGAAGAAGGAGAGGAGTGGAGTGGTCTGGTGGTGTTTGGAGGTGTCTGCTGCAAATGATAATGGGGTTCGACGTGGGCCAAAAGGGGGAGGAGAGGAGTGGGGCAATCTGGCAGTCAAATACCGGACAGGTGGTGCTGCAAGTGAGGGATGGGTTAGGCGTGGGCCAAACATGGGGAGAGTGGGTTAGGTGTTGTTTTAGCTGTTAGGCTGCATTAACTGTCGGTCTGATTGTGGTACGGTAGAAGGAATAATGCCACTGTTTGAGTGACCTCTTGATTGCTTCTGACTCCTGCAATATGCTGACTGAAATTATGCTACCTTATCTGGAACCCCTGCTTCTTACGACTTATACAAATGGTTTTACTGTGCAAATCTTAGAACTACCGGAACTCTTTGTCGGGACAGTGCCAGGTACAGTACGATGATGTGCATAGATAGGGGTTGGTGTGGGTCAGCTTGGAACAAGCCTGAATTTATTCAGTCAAAAGTACGTGTAGTCCAAAGCAGGGAAATCCTTGAAGAATGCCGTGAAGTGGTTGAACATGTGCCCGATGCCGTCTGTGCATCGACAGTGGCACTCCGCTCCCCCATCCACCATGCAACACTAATACGGTAACTGCTACCTGGTTGGTCTACAGGAACGACCAGCCTATGACACTTGGCTCCTAATCCATGGTCAGACGAGCATCTAAGGCAGGGAAATCCTGGAAGAATGCAGTGAAGTGGTTGAGCATGTGCCCGATGTCGTCCGTGCCACACATCTCGCGGATGCTGTGCATCGATAGCTGAGGCGCCCCCACGTCCACCCCTCCCCCCCCTTCCCCGCCTCTAGTCCACAGTGAGGCGAGAATCCAAGGCAGGGAAATCCCTAAAGAACGCAGTGAAGTGGTTGAGCATGTGCCCGATGTCATCCGTGCCACACATCTCCCTGATGCTGTGCATGGACAGCTGAGGCGCCCCCACGTCCACGGTGCGGATTCCGGCTCCTGAAGCGAGGATGGGGCCGATGGTGCTGCCACACCCCGTGTCATTGCGCACCACAAAGTCCTGCCAGGGATCGGGGGTGTGGGCGGGGAGGAAGGAGAAACGTTTGGAGCAGGGCAGCAGTGAGGTTGCTGTGCATGGACAGCTGCGGCGCCCCCACGTCCACGGTGCGAATGCCGGCTCCTGAAGCAAGGATGGGCCCAATTGTGCTGCCACACCCCGTGTCATTGCGCACCACAAAGTCCTGAGGGCGAGGGGAGGGGGGTGCAGGGGAGAGGGGATGCACTTCTGCCCACGTCCACGGTGCGGATTCAGGCTCCTGAGGCGAGGATGGGGCCAATTGTGCTGCCACACCCCGTGTCATTGCGCACCACAAAGTCCTGAAATAGGGGGAATGCAACAGGATGGAAAGGGGAGGAAAGCGGCAGGGAGAGGAGGGGAGGGGAAGGTTAAAACATTGAACAGTCTTACCCACGACAAGCAGTGAAGAATCGCACACGATATCCCTGCTCTTTCTAAAGCGCATGCAAAAGTCTTGCTCGTTCTGAGGCACTTCAAAAACCAGGGGAAAGCCCTGGCTACTTATGCACTTGCTCACCTGCACGGGGATGCCATGGCACGTGGCGACTTCTCGGAAGAGAGCAGCGGAGACAGCAGTGGTGGCGTAGCGCTGGTTGGCGTTGTGTTTGATCACCAACCCCTTGTGCATCTTCGGTTGGTGCAGCTCCTCGTGCCTCTCCTGCTCACATGGAATGAGGTTAGTTGCAGGTATATGAAAATGGCCTTGTGCCTCATCACCAGCCCCTTGTGCATCTTCAATATGCATGCTGACACAGTTGCCAATTCTAACCATAACGGGAAGGGAAATTAATAAACGTGCTTTGTGCAGTTAAGAGAGAAGGGCAAGTGGCTAGAGAGGCAAAGGAGAGTACTGATAGGGTGCCGATACCATACGCATTGGAAATGAGGCTCGGGAGGGGGGCTAGTGAGGCCAGGGAGGGGAGATAGGAAGCGAGGGAGGCAAAGGAGGGTACTGACGGGGTAGTTGGGGTGGTGGCAGTGTGCCATGTCTGCTCATACAGTGGGCACTCTTGCTGGAAGACCTTTCAAAATAGACGAGCGGACTAGGGAAGGCACTGAGGGCTAGGGAAGGTACTGACAGGGTAGTTGGGGTGGTGGCAGTGCGCCATGTCTGCTGATACCATTGGCACTCTTGATTGTAAGGGGAAAAGGAAATCTGAGACGTCTTAGTAACAGACGGGGCTAGGGAGGGCAGGGAATGCTAGGGAGGGCAGTGAATGCTAGGGAGGGCACTGACAGGGTAGTTGGGGTGGTGGCAGTGCGCCATGTCTGCTGATACCATAGGCACTGGAAACGAGGCTCGGGAGGGGGGCTAGTGAGGCTAGGGAGGGGAGATAGGAAGCGAGGGAGGCAAAGGGGGGCACTGACAGGGTAGTTGGGGTGGTGGCAGTGTGCCATGTCTGCTGATACCATAGGCACTCTTGATTGTAAGGGAAGAAGGGAATATGGGACATCTTAGAAACAAATGGGGCTAAGGAAGGCTACTAGGGAGACTACTGACGGGGTAGTTGGGGTGGTGGCAGTGCGCCATGTCTGCTGACACCACGAAGCTCTTCTTGAGAGACCGCTCCACCACTCCCTGCCATGGGGTGGAATTGGGAGGGGTGGGGTGCGGTGGGATGGAATGTGATGGCATGGCATGGCATGGAACGGCATGGCTTGGCACGGCAAGACACAGCAGCAGCAGCAGCAGCAGCAGCAGCAGCAGCAGCAGAAGAATCTGTAGGCTCACCTCAGATGCACCAGCAGCACCGCCAGTGCAGGCAGCATTGACGCGGCGAATGGCGTCTAGCAGCAGAGGAGATCCCGCGCCCTGAGCAGAGTCGCTGCCACACTCCTCGTTGTCAAAGAACAGCACCATGCGCACTCCACTCTCTGCCTCCTCGCTCTCGCTCTCCCCCTCCCCTGTCGCTAGTAGTGCCTGTACAAAAGAGGAGGAGCCAGGGCAGAGAGGAAGGTACGGTTGATAGGGCCATCAGGAGTCGCTGCCACACTCCTCGTTATCAAACAGCAACACCATGCGCACCCCGCCCTCCGCCTCCTCACTGTCGCTGTCACTTTCCCCTGCTGCCAGTAGTGCCTGCAGGGAGGAAGGGGAACCAGGGCAGAGAGGAAGGTACGGTTGATAGGGCCATCAGGAGTCGCTGCCACACTCCTCGTTATCAAACAGCAACACCATGCGCACCCCGCCCTCCGCCTCTTCACTGTCGCTGTCACTTTCCCCTGCTGCCAGTAGTGCCTGCAGGGAGGAAGGGGAACCAGGGCAGAGAGGAAGGTACGGTTGATAGGCCATCAGGAGTCGCTGCCACACTCCTCGTTGCCAAACAGCAACACCATGCGCACGCCACCCTCCTCCTCCTCGCTCTCGGTGTCTCCTGCTGCCAGTACTGCCTGCAGGGACAAAAAACGGAGGGAGAAATGTTGAATTGGGGAAAAAAGGTTCATCAGGAGTCGCTTAGGGTGGCGATGAGGGCAAGAGGGGCGTGCAGCGGAGGGCAGTGGGAGTGTACTGGTGAGAACTGTGAGATGCTGAGTGCGACATTGGATAAGAATTGAACTGATGTTCGTATGCTGTGTGCGCAACGGATAAGAATTGAACTTGTTGAGAGCAGAGCAGCGCAGGGCCAGTGGGGCAGAAATTACCGATAAAGGTTACCAATAACACGTTGAAGAACCTGTTTGAAAATGTCTACAAGCTTGTTTGAGAAGTACCTGGGGGGCAGCGGAGGAGGAGGCGAGGTGACTTTTGAGTCGACTCAAAAGTCACCTGTTTGAAAATGTCTACAAGCTTGTTCGCGAAGTGTTTTGAGTCGACTCAAAACAAAAGTCACCTGTTTGAAAATGTCTACAAGCTTGTTCGCGAAGTGTTTTGAGTCGACTCAAAACAAAAGTCACCTGTTTGAAAATGTCTACAAGCTTGTTCGCGAAGTGTTTTGAGTCGACTCAAAACAAAAGTCACCTGTTTGAAAATGTCTACAAGCTTGTTCGCGAAGTGTTTTGAGTCGACTCAAAACAAAAGTCACCTGTTTGAAAATGTCTACAAGCTTGTTCGCGAAGTGTTTTGAGTCGACTCAAAACAAAAGTCACCTGTTTGAAAATGTCTACAAGCTTGTTCGCGAAGTGCTTTGAGTCGACTCAAAACAAAAGTCACCTGTTTAAAAATGTCTACAAGCTTGTTCGCGAAGTGTTTTGAGTCGACTCAAAACAAAAGTCACCTGTTTGAAAATGTCTACAAGCTTGTTCGCGAAGTGTTTTGAGTCGACTCAAAACAAAAGTCACCTGTTTGAAAATGTCTACAAGCTTGTTCGCGAAGTGTTTTGAGTCGACTCAAAACAAAAGTCACCTGTTTGAAAATGTCTACAAGCTTGTTCGCGAAGTGTTTTGAGTCGACTCAAAACAAAAGTCACCTGTTTGAAAATGTCTACAAGCTTGTTCGCGAAGTGTTTTGAGTCGACTCAAAACAAAAGTCACCTGTTTGAAAATGTCTAAAAGCTTGTTCGCGAAGTGTTTTGAGTCGACTCAAAACAAAAGTCACCTGTTTAAAAATGTCTACAAGCTTGTTCGCGAAGTGTTTTGAGTCGACTCAAAACAAAAGTCACCTGTTTGAAAATGTCTACAAGCTTGTTCGCGAAGTGTTTTGAGTCGACTCAAAACAAAAGTCACCTGTTTGAAAATGTCTACAAGCTTGTTCGCGAAGTGTTTTGAGTCGACTCAAAACAAAAGTCACCTGTTTGAAAATGTCTACAAGCTTGTTCGCGAAGTGTTTTGAGTCGACTCAAAACAAAAGTCACCTGTTTGAAAATGTCTACAAGCTTGTTCGCGAAGTGTTTTGAGTCGACTCAAAACAAAAGTCACCTGTTTGAAAATGTCTACAAGCTTGTTCGCGAAGTGTTTTGAGTCGACTCAAAACAAAAGTCACCTGTTTGAAAATGTCTACAAGCTTGTTCGCGAAGTGTTTTGAGTCGACTCAAAACAAAAGTCACCTGTTTGAAAATGTCTACAAGCTTGTTCGCGAAGTGTTTTGAGTCGACTCAAAACAAAAGTCACCTGTTTGAAAATGTCTACAAGCTTGTTCGCGAAGTGTTTTGAGTCGACTCAAAACAAAAGTCACCTGTTTGAAAATGTCTACAAGCTTGTTCGCGAAGTGTTTTGAGTCGACTCAAAACAAAAGTCACCTGTTTGAAAATGTCTACAAGCTTGTTCGCAAAGTGTTTTAAGTCGACTCAAAACAAAAGTCACCTGTTTGAAAATGTCTACAAGCTTGTTCGCGAAGTGTTTTGAGTCGACTCAAAACAAAAGTCACCTGTTTGGAAATGTCTACAAGCTTGTTCGCGAAGTGTTTTGAGTCGACTCAAAACAAAAGTCACCTGTTTGAAAATGTCTACAAGCTTGTTCGCGAAGTGTTTTGAGTCGACTCAAAACAAAAGTCACCTGTTTGAAAATGTCTACAAGCTTGTTCACGAAGTGTTTTGAGTCGACTCAAAACAAAAGTCACCTGTTTGAAAATGTCTACAAGCTTGTTCGCGAAGTGTTTTGAGTCGACTCAAAACAAAAGTCACCTGTTTGAAAATGTCTACAAGCTTGTTCGAGAAGCACCTGGAGGGCAGCGAAGGAGGAGGCGAGGTTGTCAAGGCGGCCAGAGAAGACAAACTCGTTGAGAGCAGAGCACCAGTGCAGCGCCAATGCTGCAGCGACTACCCACCAAACATCCAAGTACCGCTACGTACCGTTACATACCATTAAGTACCGCTGCGGTACCTGGAGGGCAGCGAAGGAGGAGGCGAGGTTGTCAAGGCGGCCTGAGAAGACAAACTCGTTGAGAGCACCCGCGATGGCGCTGGGGTGTGTGTCGCACAGCTGTAGGTCGAAATCCGCTATGGCTGCTGGCGAGCAGCCCAGCTCGGACGCCAGGAGCTGCCGTGAGAGAGTGGAGTGGGAGAGTAAGAGAGGCGGGAGTGGGAAAGAGAGGAGGGGGGGAATGAGAGAGAGTTACAGGTGCACCACGTGTGTGCAGTGCACCGAGGGCGCCAGCAAGTTCAGAAGCGATGGCCCTGGGGTGTGTGTCACACAGCTGCAGGTCGAAATCTGCTATGGCTGCTGGGGAGCAGCCCAGCTCGGACGCCAGGAGCTGCAGCAGAGGATGGGGGAGGGAGAGGGGGGAGAGTAAAACGGGGGAAAGATGCGGAGTGAGCATGGAGAGTGAGTGAGCATGGAGAGTGAGTGAGCATGGAGAGTGAGTGAGCATGGAGAGTGAGTGAGCATGGAGAGTGAGTGAGCATGGAGAGTGAGTGAGCATGGAGAGTGAGTGAGCATGGAGAGTGAGTGAGCATGGAGAGTGAGTGAGCATGGAGAGTGAGTGAGCATGGAGAGTGAGTGAGCATGGAGAGTGAGTGAGCATGGAGAGTGAGTGAGCATGGAGAGTGAGTGAGCATGGAGAGTGAGTGAGCATGGAGAGTGAGTGAGCATGGAGAGTGAGTGAGCATGGAGAGTGAGTGAGCATGGAGAGTGAGTGAGCATGGAGAGTGAGTGAGCATGGAGAGTGAGTGAGCATGGAGAGTGAGTGAGCATGGAGAGTGAGTGAGCATGGAGAGTGAGTGAGCATGGAGAGTGAGTGAGCATGGAGAGTGAGTGAGCATGGAGAGTGAGTGAGCATGGAGAGTGAGTGAGCATGGAGAGTGAGTGAGCATGGAGAGTGAGTGAGCATGGAGAGTGAGTGAGCATGGAGAGTAATATCACAAGAGCTCATACTGCCTCAGGTGCCTCACCTGCAGCAGCGGCGGGTGGTGCCTCTCAGCGGCCTCATCTTTCTTTCCCTTGCCCTTCTCCTTGCCACCAACCCCACCCTCACCGTTAAGAGGAGTTAAAGGTCGTCTCACCTGCAGCAGCAGCGGGTGGTGCCTCTCAGCGGCCTCATCCTTCTTCCCCTTGCCCTTCTCCTTGCCCTCGCCCTCCTTGCCGCCACTTTCACCCGCAGGGGCGGGTCGGTTCAGCTCCTCCTGTGACACGCGCAGTGGGGCGAAACGAGTCAGGTGCATGTGAGAGGTGAGCAGGTGAGATGAGCAAGCGAGATGAGGAGGTGAGGAGGGAGGAGACAAGGCGAATCGTTGAGAGGGGGGAGCAACGGACCTTGATGGCAGTGGCGAGCACAGGCAGCAGGTGCGTCTGAGTGTTGGGCTTAAACCCACTCGTGTTCACCTCCCTGTGACGGGAGTAGGGCAAGTGACAGCATGGGAAGTGACAAGAAACTAGGGCACATGAGACAGGCACGCGGATGTGAGAGCAAGGGGACTGCAGGTGTTTAGATGAATTGCACGCATGATTGCATCCAACCAATCACAGCACAGGGCGGTCAATCCACACCAGCCCATGCTGCCTCTGATCTGAGCCAAATAAAGAATCCCCACAGGCCCTATCCACTCACGAGAGCCCCACGACACTCACCTGTCGAGGTGAATGGCGAGCGTGGGAATGCGCATTATAGGGCGATCAGTCTGCACCAGCCGATGCTCCAATCGCACCCGCGCCACTGACCCAACCTTCCCTCCCTCCCCGCCTCCCTCTCCTGCCCCCCCTTCTCCCCCTGCCTCCCCGTCCACGTGGCGGAGAATGACCCTCCCGGCAATCCCAAGGTCGCGGTCGAACCACGTGTGCCACAGGCCCCCTCCGTACGTCTGCACGGCCACGGACAGAAACCCCGCCTTGCTCGCCTTGCTGTTGGGCTTTAACTTGAGGCACGGGCTGTCTGTGTGTGCTCCTATGATCCAGAACGCGTTCCCCGGCTTGAATCTGGTGAACGGGGGGTGGGGAGGGCGGGTGGAGGCGGGGGGAGGTAACGGGGGTTGCTCATTCGCGCTTCTGGGCAGTGGTTGGCTGCTTTCAGCTTCAGGCACGCTCAGTCTGAAGCAGGTATGGCACAGTCTCTCCCCAGTACGCCTTACAGCTACCCTCGCTCACTTTTTCCCGATAGAGAAAGCCGCGATAGTGGAGTAGTTGCGCGTGAAGAAGTACTTCCCGACAGGCTCCAGTCGCCACTCTTCGCGTTCCGAAAGCTGCTGGTAACCCGCTTTCAGCAGCCGCTGGCGACATTCGTCTGCGTGTCAATTGGAGGTAGTAAAAACAAAACCGGCAAAACGACGAGGAGCAAAATAACGTTGGGGGTTTAGGACGATCTCGGATTCGAAACGTGTAAATTCGATCGAGGAGGTCCAGGAGCGAGTCGAGGAATTCGTCTATTCCTTCGCATTTTTTTCCGCAGGAATCTCAACAAGAACGATAGCGCACGCACCGACAGCATGGAAGGCGGTCCACGAACGATTCAGAAACTCGACGAGCTCCGTCGCCGCTGCAGGCGGCGCAGGTGGCGCTGCTGCTGTTGCTGCTGTCGTTGCTGCCATGATCGAGAGTCAGGGGAGGCAAGAGGAATTGCGCGGCTGGGATAGTAATTTGCTCGACCTGCGGGACCTCTTGGGTCCTGAAATGGGCTGAAGAAGACTCACGCGCTGTCACTACCCAGGCACGCAATTCGTACCTATCGTGCGACTCGTCTGAGGTGAAGGTAAAGGTTATCCTGCTGAAATGAGTTCGGAATCTGGCTGAGCTTGGGAGACCTCCTGTAATGACTGATGCGGATTAAAAAAACATTCCGAGATATGGGTACGGTACAGCATCTACAATTCGAGTGGAATGTGTATGAAGTTGGGCTGGATATGTCGCGTTGGTATTGCGTTGGTTATTATCGAGGTTGATTTTTCCAAACTTCCAGCTCAGATCATATCTGCGTGACCCATCTTGCGGAGCCCCCAACCTCTCTCACGTAGCCCCGTCAGAATTATCGACGTGGCAAGGGAAGCGCTGGCACGACTTTGCTGGCTTGATATTGTAAACACCTGCCACCGCCACGCGGATTGAGGTGTGGGGGAACGGGTCCGCCACACCAACCAGCAAGGTCTTCCCTACAATAATGTATCCCCCCCTCCCCTCTGTCTCCCGCTCCCCCGCACTTCTCCCCGCGGCAGTGGAGCAACTCACTTCGCGGCAAATCCCAAGGTTTCTGCTTCCGCTCTACATTTCTCCAACAAACAGTGGTAGAAAGTTGCTTCTCCTCAAAACCATACCCAACCATTCATTTATATATATTGAACTTACTTAAACGTACAATACCTGACTAAACCGTAGGCGAATGAACTGATTTGACCACCCCCATCTTTGAACTAAGATTGAAATGAAAGCTGGACCATTCTAGTCAGTTGTATGTTTCTCAGATTCTTGAGATACCAGTCCAGCCTAACATATTAGGCAAGTTGGAGACACGTACCAGCTTGTGTTGAAAAATACCTATTTCCTTTCCGCATTAGTCCTTTCCTCTTGTCCTATCCAATTTTCCTTCACCGAATCTGCCAGTAATCATGGCATCTTCGAGCCTCCTGGTCGCGAGAGCAGCGGTGTCAGCCATCCCATCGAAGCTCGCACCACTCAAATCCATCGCCGCTTCCCGTCCAGCAGTATCAGCCATCCTTCCCAACGCGTTCCTCGGAAGATTCGCCGACGCCTCTCCCGCCAACCCCCTCCTGAAGCAAACCGCGGCGGCGCCATGCCAAACAGGCGCACCGGCGTGTCCGAGTCGGCTGCGGATCGGCGGCACGCAGCTGTCGGGGCGACGCGCGATGGCGAACATGGCGTGGGGAGGCGCGTTGGCGGCCGTGCGGCTCATTGTGCAAGGGAAGCACATGGAGGTGCGTTTCTTAGACGATGAGAATCATAATAGGGTTCTTTTGTGGTTCCAAGCGCCCGTTCTGCTCTCTAACTGCCTGCACCGGATGGCGCGATATATCAATGTCCGGCACTCACACCGTCTGTGTTATCAGTTCAGTTGAAACACACTCGGCTATGAATGCGTCACACGCTTTGCAAATCCGTTTAAATTCGATGCTAACAAAATGACATGCGTGCCATCGTAATTCTCTTCCCCGCATACGATCCGCATCTGGCGCAGCTGACGGATTCGATCCAGACGTTCGTAGATGCGAAGGCACCATGCAACCTCTCATCCCGTCCCATTCTTTTCTCCCCGCTTCTTCCCCTCACCGTTTCTCCCACCCTTCCGCCACCCTCTCTCCCTTCCCCACCTCTCTTCCCTCCCCCCACCCCCGCGACCCGCGCAGCTGACGGACTCGATCCGCGCGTACGTGGAGGAGAAGGTGGGGCACGCGGTGAACAACCACAGCGCGCTGTGCCGCGAGGTCGACGTGCGCCTCTCCGTGCGCGGCGGCGACTCCAACACCAAGGGGCCGCGCCAGCAGCGCTGCGAGGTAACGCTCACCCCATGTCTCTCCTACTCCCCATTCCGTTCCTCGCCTTTTTGGGTTCCCGCTGTCCGCGCCTGACGGTTACTCTTATGGCGCCTAAATAAGCCGTTCCTCCCCTTCTCGGGTCACGGATGTCACCGCTGAAGGTTTAGGGTTCCATTATGGCCCTAACGACCGCCAGAACCTGGTTACTAGAATTTGTACGGTTTCGTGCGCCTCGTCTCTCTTCGCTGTCCGTCGTCGCCTGAGCATTTTCGCCTGCCCTGCCTCGGGTTACCAGGTTACCATCTTCACGAAGAAGCACGGCGTGCTGCGGGCGGAGGAAGAGGCGGAGTCCGCGTACGCGGCGATCGACAAGGTGTCGGACGTGGTTTCGCGGAAGCTGCGCAAGATTAAGGAGAAGGACGGCGGGCAAGGTCGCTCGTGGCAGATGCGGAACGCGCAGAAGCTGGGCGAGATGCTTCCGGAGACGCCCGTTGACATCACCCCCATCCTGAACCGCCAGACTAGCGACCTGCCCGACGAGGTGAGCAACAGCTAGTAACGCGTACGAGCACGTGGCAGACGCGGAACGCGCAGAAGCTGGGCGAGATGCTGCCCGAGACGCCCGTCGATAGTAGCCCCATTCTCAACCGCCAGACCAGCGATCTGCCCGACGAGGTGAGCAACAGCTTGTAACGCCTACTAGCACGTGGCAGATACGACAAGCGCAGAATTTATGTGGGATGTTGTCGGAAAGTTGGTTAGCGCTAAGTGGGTGCTAGAGACACACTGACCTTGGGCGACATGCTGCCTCGTTCCTCCCCTCTTGCTATCCCCCCCTGCCCTCACCTACCCACCGTTGGCCTATCTGCCCTCCCCACCCACTCCCCCTTCAAAGGTGGTGCGCACCTAGTACTTCGAGATGGCGCCCATCGTCCTCCTGCCTCCCGTACCCATGCTGCTCCTTCCGCCTCCCCCCTCTCTCTCTGCGCCCCTTCCCTTCCCCCCAGGTGGTGCGCACCAAGTACTTCGAGATGGCGCCCATGAGCACGTACGAGGCGCTGGAGCAGCTCGTGAACGTGGACCATGACTTCTATGCCTTCCGCAACGGCGACTCGGGTGAGTGGCAGAGTGGGTTGAGGGCGTGTGCAACTGAGGGTATGGTTGCAGGTTGGCTTGGCTGGAGCAGCTGGTGAACGTGGACCACGACTTCTATGCCTTCCGCAACGGCGACTCGGGTGAGTGACGTGGTGCTAGGGCCGTTTGGGTACTTGGTTATTGGCGAAAGAGGGAGGGGGAGGGACGGGTTGCAAGAGGCGCTGGAGCAGCTCGTACACAATGGGGGTTTGGGTGAGTGGCGCGGACTGAAGGGCGGAGGGGGGAAGGGGGGGATTAGTATTGACACGAAGGAGAGGGGGAGGGGGAGGTGCAGGTGGCAAGAGGAGGGGAGCAGCACGTCAGCATGGACAATGATTGGTCAATGGTTGGGGGGGGAGGGGAGGGGGGAGGGAGGGGCGGTGAATGCCAGGGAGGGAGTGATGGCGAGGGGGGCACGTGCAACAAATGGAGCACGGCTCCCCACACATGGAGCACGGCTTGTGTTCAGGAGCGGTTATTTGGGTGTCACACAGGGGGGAGTCATGCTGGCAAGGAAGGGTGTCAGAAAAAGGCGGCCATGGCCTGGCACTGCACAGAGCACTTTTAACAGCAAAGTACAGTACTTATGGAAGTTTATCTGCCAAGGTGCAGAGGGTCTGGTCTGTGGTGGTACAGAAGGGTAGACCACAGGGGCGTTGGTCCAGTCCAGGCCATCACCACTGCCACCTTTACTGGAACATGATTAATGGTGTAGATTGTGGGCTATAGAAGTTAGTTTTAGTGCTTACAAGCCGCCATTATGGTTCCTTTTCTTACCTACACGTGCTATCTGTCTGATCTCTCTCTAATCTTTTCATTCAGGTGAGATCAACATCCTGTACAAGAGGAAGCACGGTGGCTATGGTGTCATCATTCCACGGACAGAGGAGCCTGCTACCAAGTCCTCGTAAGGGCGAATTGTCTTGAGGTCATTAGGTCATGGACAAAACACGTTTGTAGCTGGAAATATATTTGTACTTTGACACACAAATGAGTATACATCAGCATATACTCAAAATTCTATCTGGCTATCGTTCATTTAAAACCGAAATGCAAAATAGTGAACCCAACGCCAACTTGAAAGAGGGCTTGCCGTGAGAAACAATTTTGGAACCAAACCGACAAGTTTCCAGTGTTTCATTGAGAGCGTTTTTTGCAGATCGAACACATCTGATTGGTTCCCGCCAAAACCAAAAAAAGGAACACAGCACGTCAGGCGTCGCATATCAGTTTTGGAAGCTGCACAACACTAGCATTGCGATCGCTCATGCACGTCCTTGCGATTTTGGGCCCAGCTTGGGGTTCAAGTTGGGTCTGGGTGAACAACTACTAGTTCTTCCGATCATACATCTCAGCTTCTTAGTTATGTGTAGCATGTCTAGCCATCGAACCGTCAACTTAGGCCGTTGTTGTTTCAATTTAGACGCGTAGTGAAGCTGGCATGGTTGTGTAGTACTTTGTGCCGTTTCGAATGCCCTCTCGCCGCCTTCCTATCTCATCTCGCTCGCCCTCCCGTTCCGATCGACCGTCCTGACGCCGTCCCATCGACCATCCTGACGCCGTCCCATCGACCGTCGCGTCGCGATCATGTCGTCCGTCCCGTCGACGTCCCGTCGCCCTCCTACCGTCATCTCCATTACCCCTCTCCTCCAATCACCCTCGCGATTTTCCCGTCGCAAATCTCTCTCTCGCCGCTCCCTTTCCTGAACCAATCGCCTTCTCCTCTCCCTTCTCGTCGCTCTCTCTCTCGCCGCTCCCTTTCCGTTGCAATCGCCTTCTCCCATCCCTTCCCGTCGCTCTATCTCTCTCCCCTCCCTTCCCGTCGCTCTATCTCTCTCCCCTCCCTTCCCGTCGCTCTATCTCTCTCCCCTCCCATCCCGTTGCTCTTGCTCTCTCCCCTCCCTTCCCGGCGCTCTCTCTCTCGCTGCTCCCTGCGCGTCGCTCTCTCTCTCTCTCTCGCCGCTCCCTTTCCTCAACAAATCGCCTTCTCCTCTCCCTTCCCGTCGCTCTCTCTCTCTCGCCGCTCCCTTTCCGTTGCAATCGCCTTCTCCCATCCCTTTCCGTCGCTCTATCTCTCTCCCCTCCCATCCCGTCGCTCTATCTCTCTCCCCTCCCATCCCATCGCTCTATCTCTCTCCCCTCCCTTCCCGTCGCTCTATCTCTCTCCCCTCCCTTCCCGTCGCTCTATCTCTCTCCCCTCCCTTTCCGTCGCTATATCTCTCTACCCTCCCATCCCGTCGTTCCTCCGCTCTACCCTCCCATCCCGTCTTTCTTCCTCTCTCCCCTCCCATCCCGTCGTTCCTCCTCTCTTCCTTCCTATCCCGTCGTTTTTCCCTTCTCCCCTCCCATCCCGTCGTTCCCCCTCTCTCCCCTCCTCTCCCGTCAGCCCCCTTGTCCCCAGTCCCTTCTCTTCGCCGTCGACCAATCAACCGTCCCGTCGCCCTTTCTCTTTTCGTACATCATTAATTTCTTTATTTATATCTTCTTCGCCTGATTTCACCTGTGTGTGCCATGGATTTTGCTTGATCATGCCAGTGTTCGCGCAGGATTTTGCGAGTTTTTGCCTGTGCGCGCTGGATTTTGCCTGTGTGTGCGCTTTTTTTTGCATATGGGAATTCTTGTGAAGTTACGACGGCTGCTATGTTGAATGTGGGATTGCAGCCTTGTGCCAAATTCGCATACGAATGTGGGTGAAAGTCGCCACCAATAAGATTTGTAAACAAGTTCCTCATGTTTCCCGTTCAGATCAAGACTCGTCTGGGATGAAAAAAAAGTAAAAACGCACAGGCCGTCAACTTTTCAAACGTTCGTAACGAACTTGTGTTTTCAAGTGGACCCAACTAGAAGGGGGGGGTCACTATTTTAGCTGCTGGCTTTAAATTGTGCAGCATTTTAACATGGGCTTTGAAAATTAGTATGGAAAGCAGTGAGCACCAGTGTGACAATACGCGGCATAGTCCTAACCGAATGGAGTTTCAGATTTGTGACTCGGCCAACACGTCAGCAGATGCAGTCCTCCCTTCTCCGGTCCACGTGCCGGCACGTCAGCGCATCGTTGCTGAGAGAGCGTGCCTCCAATTCCGTTCGACCAAATGTCGCCTCGACAGTGCACTCGCCTTGTCATCAAAATCTTGGAAGGCTTCGCGGGGTCCTTCGTCACTCACCCAATCGCACTCCACATCGGAGTAACGAGCTTTGCCGAGAAGTTCGTGCAATTTCGCAACAGCGACACTCCCTTGGTCCTAGTTTTTCCCTCCAAATCCAGCCACTAAGGTTCCTTTCCCCTGACACCACTATTTCTAGTCCGAGCCATTTCCAAAGCCAGACCATGCAGAATATAAATACCAGTCCTACTACTTCAATCCTGATTATATTGTTTAGTTTGGCTCACACGGTAATATTCCGTCCGTGCTTTGTTTATTTCATTTCCCAAATTTTAGTGTCCTCAACGTCGACCATCACCCATGGCGGAGCTCACTTGCCTCTCCCAGTCGTCCCCTCTCGCTCTCCGCCTTCGCACCGCCGCCACCCCCTCCTCGCACTCTCCTCTGCGACGAGCCACGCCAAAGCCATTCGTCGCGGCCTCGGCGAACAATCATGATGATGTACCGCCTGCCACTTCAGCGTCCGCCATTCCCGCCGTGACGCACGTTACACCCGTCACGCGTCGCGTGGTCGTAGCGCTCCCGGCCATGGCAGCTCTCGCCGCCTCCCTCGCCGCCGGCCCAGCGAATGCACTCGTTCCCACCACCGCCGTCGCTGGCCGCGTTCCGGGGCTCTCCGAACCCGACGAAAACGGTAACACAATCTGCTTCGTCGCAACTCATCGCAACCTCTCGATCCTTTCGTCGAGGTCCTCGACTCGATGCCGTGCTTGCGACGTTTTTGGTACAAGCATTACAAACACTCGTAGAAACGCCTTTTCTAAGCGTCCGCGTGTGTGCTTATGCTGTGTCCTGTCAGGCTGGCGCACGTACAAGCGGCCGGCGAGCAAGTCCGGCGGGCACGGCGTGGGGTGGAGCGAGCTCATTCCGTACACCTTCACCGTGCCGGAGACCTGGGAGGAGGTACGCGCACTGGTTGGGAGATACGCGTCATAGATTGTCTTGTTATTACCTGTAGACTCCCCGTACACCTTCACCGTGCCGGAGACCTGGGAGGAGGTACGCGACGCGGGGTACTCGTCTGAGTTCGCGAGCTGTACCAAAGCGAATAAATCAAATCGAGCCACGGAGCACACAGAGTGAAAAAAAATCGAATGAAATCAAATCGAATTGAAATGGTTCCGTTTCGACACCACAGCGAGAAACGTGGTGTGCGAACCGGCGCAGATATATAGGAGCATTGCGACCCTTGTTATCGCCATGGCGATGCATCGCGTGCATCGCCACTACTGTTTAGGAATCCGTGGTTCGCCCTGATAGCTAATGACACGCGATGCAGTCGTGGATATCATGCAGTGGTGACTGGTAGCGCATTCTATTCGAATTTCAAGTAGCGTTTCACACCGACAGGTACTCGCTTCTCCCCCTTTCCAACCAAATTCAACCGCTCTCCATCTCTCCCGATTGCTCCCCACCAGACGCCCGTGTCAATCGCGGATCTGGGCGGCACGGAGATCGACCTGCGATTCGCGAGCAAGCAGCAGGGCAAGCTGTTCATCGTCGTCGCACCCGTGCTGCGATTCGCCGACGGGCTGGGCGACGACGTGCGAATCGAGAGCGTGGGCGACGCGGAGCGCGTGATCACCGCGTTCGGCCCGGAAATCACGGGCGAGAACGTGGAGGGGCGCGTGAACGACACGAAGGTGGTGTCTAAGGGCGGGCGGACGTACTACGAGTATGACGTGGACCCGCATATCCTCGTGTCCGCCACTGCTGCCGGCAACCGCATGTATATCATGGGCATCGCTGCGTCTGGTGAGTGCTGTGAAGGAGCTTCTCAGCATAAGCGGGGTTTTTTTTGCCCGAAGGGGCTATGATTCACTCTCGTCTCGTTTCTGCTACTGCTGCTGACAATCGCATGTACATCATGGGCATCGCTGCGTCTGGTGAGTGTCAAACTGCCTGTGTAGCCTCTGCTGGTGGTAACCAGCTGTGTTCTTCGTCTCATAAAGTGACAACCGGATGTGCATTATGCGCTTTGCCGCGTCTGATGAGTGATGTGAGGCGAATGTTGAGTATATAAGGGGTTCTGAGAGTCAGAGGCGACTTTGCCGCACCAAGTCGAGTTGAGAGTAGTACTCGAGTCGAGTGACATTAAGCAGATCCCCCTTAGCGTGTTCACAATGCTTTAACCCTGCCCTCCACTCTCTCCTCCCACCCCCCTCTCTTCTCTGCTCTGCATCAGGCCGGCAATGGAAGAAGTGACATCAAGCAGATCCTCCTCCCGTGCCCACACACAATCCTAATACCTTGCTCGTTGCCCTGCTTCCTGCACCCCCCTCCTGCTCCCCACCAGGTCGGCAATGGAAGAAATACTCGAGTGACATCAAGCAGATCCTCTCCTCCTTCCGCGTTGGATAGACAGACATACAGCATTACTGATGTGGTGCACTGCTTGTGCGAATGCATGGGAGATTCACCTACATATTGCGCTCTGTTCTGGGGCATGTTGATATGCAGTATCAGTATCAGACTACGGTAGATGGATGCAGGAAGAGGTTGCAGCAGGAGGTTGCATGCAGTCCCCTGGTGTGTGCTGGATGGATGTGCGTGGCCTTAGGTGGTTTACGTTATACGGTACCGATAGTGGGTGTGTGTATTGTGTTGTTGACTGATTACCATTTTCTGTTGCTGGAATCTGGAAGTGCTTAAAGAATATTTGACTCGAACAAGCACCACCACCACATATAGCTACCAAGATTTCCATACAGTACAGCCAAGCTCTGCCAGGGCTCGTGATTGGGTTTGATATTTCCATACCTGAACCCCCCTGATGCATCAGACGGCCCCTTGGGGTAATTATTTGATTTATGGAGTCGTTATATTTTTGTTTGGTTGCTTTTCATACACACATATATTGTCATCCCCGATTGCTTTCAATACCGCAGTCTTTGACAAAATATTGATCTCGCAGAAAATAGTGGAACTTGGATGTGGTAAATTTTTCCATGTGTTCCACATTACCTTACTAGTATGGAAACGCATAATAGACATTGTTCCATTAGCAACAGCGTTGTTGCTCACTGCTTTGGCATCGTTTTGCGTTGTAACGGATCGAGCAAAAGCGACGATCTAGAATGGAAGGTGGGTTGCTCTGCGACTGTGTCATGACGTGGCATCGACAGCAAAAACCCAAGCATGTGAAGCTGTGTTGTAGCAGGCGGTGTCTGGCCACGTCATCTCCGCACAAGCTGGCTTATCGTGCAATCAGTGCGCGCCACACGGTTGGCTGGGATGCCCCAGAGACATTCCCGGTGGAAGCTTTGCGCAAAATACGCCACCACCCTCACGAACCAGCCGCGCACGTGCCCCGTGCGGTATTGATTGGAACGAATTTCGGAGTGTCCTCTCGTTGACGGTAACTATGTTCGAGAGTTATCAGGTCGCCCAGTCTCGCGAACATCTTTCTTGGGAACAGTGTCACACTTCTCGAAAAGCTGTGGTCGAGATCTTCCTCACCAACACCTAGGTCTTTTTCATTCCTCGGGATTTGTCCCCAGCTACAAAGCAGGGATACCAAGTAAGTCCGACAGTTTATTGTGTAGTGCTCTTGGTGTCCCCGGCTCTTATTGTCACCATTCCCAAGATAACCAGCTTCTCAGTGGTGTGCAAATGAAAGTCTTACAGGAAGCGAACCGTTGACAAATACGAAGGTATTTTTTCCGCTTATCACGGTGCTCGTTTTCCGCACTGCTCTCCCTTCTTCGTCATGGCTGCCAACGACGTGAGCTCTTCGCCACTTGATTCCGCGGGGGAAGTGCAACCGGATGCCACGCCAGCAACCACAAATACTCCAACCACAGATGTTCCAACCACAGATATTTCAACCACAGACTCTGCAGCACAATGTTCGCATTTGCTGGACCTAGTCCAAGACATGCGTGCCGTGCGGGATAGCCTCGGGGAAAGACCCACCCTGCAAGACGTGGAAAGCGCGGCTAAGGAAATAGTAGCAATCGACAAGCACCTTGTATCGCAAATGGAAGCGCTTGTATCGGAGACGCGGCCAGACGGAGCCGACGCGTATCTTTTCAAGCAGCTGGTTGCTCTTAAGCAGGACGTGATGCGCACTGCAGCGAGTATGAAGAAGCGTAAGCCGCAAGCAACATTGGATCTGGAGGCAAAGTACCGCCACTACGACAAGATGGTGATGCTCGCGGAAGAGGCGATGCTTACCGGCCGACTTCCCAGCCTCGTAGCCTCGGCAGGAACCGAACCTGTTGTTGCCGAACCTTGCGCCGAGCCTCCGGAGGTCGAGAATTTGTCAGGCGTATCGGCTGGTGAGGAGACAGCCGGGGGAAATGCCGCTGAAGCGGTTTCTACTGCAACGGATGATGCAAATGGCGGCGATGCAGCAACAGCAGCAGCCGCGACCGCAGTTGCTGCCACAGCGGTCGTCGCAGCAGCAGTCGGCGCAGCAGCCGCGGGAGCAGCAACCGCCGTTTCAACCCCTGCCGCTGAAGCCGCGGCAGTGAAGCCCGTTAGTGTCACATCCGCCACTAGCCCCGACTCCACGCTCGCCGCTACAGTCACGGAGAGCCCCGCGGCGGCGGTCGTCGGAAGCCCGCCAGTGCGGAGGGCTGTGCGGAGCCTTTCCCCTCCCCCGGGGCCGTCCGCGCGTGCCGTGTCGTTCGGAAAGGACGGTGCCGCGGAGACCAGGACGAACGCTGGCGGGAAGGGGAAGGACGGCAAAGGATTGCATTCTACTGCCGTGTCGAAAGTTGCGAGCATGCCACAATGTAAGTCGGCTGATTCGGGATTAACGGGGGTGGTAAGGACGAGATGGAAAGCAATAACACGCGGCTTGTTAGGCTAAGGAGAGGAGGCAAATGTTTGAGATCTCAGGAGGAGCAGAAGGGTACGAGGCGTCAGGAAACGCCTGACACAGAAACACGTGAGATTTGTGAAAGCGTGAAGGGAAAATATGCGTCCATTTTAAGTGCATGGCATTTTCAAGTGAAGTGCATTTTCGAAGGAATATATGTTATGGTCCATTTTCAAGTGTATGGCATCCATACAACGAGAATGACATGCATGGACCCACTCCCTCCGACTCGCACATCCCTGTCTACATCTCCCGTACCTGATCCGCACTGATCCGCACGTCCCCTTCCTGGTCCGCGCGTCCCCATCCTGGTCCGCGCGTCCCCTTCCTGGTCCGCGCGTCCCCGTCCTGGTCCGCGCGTCCCCGTCCTGGTCCGCGCGTCCCCTTTCTGATCCGCACGTCCCCTACCGAATCGATCTTTGCTTGACATACATGGACATACACGTCCCTACTTACACCCTTCCTGCTTAATTCGCACGTCCCCTATTAACAAGCTTCATCTGTCCTACATGGATACACACGTCCCTACTTACACCCTTCCTGCTTAATTCGCACGTCCCCTTCCTGATCCGCACGTCCCCTATCTAATTAAACTCTATCTAACCTACATGGGCCCACACGTGCGTACCTGAACTTCCCCTGCTCAACCCCACGCCTTTCTGCCCTCCCTGCAGCGTCCCTGAAGCCCATTGAGGAGGCATCAGCTGGGCTGGAAATCGACCCCAAGCTGCTGACCGTGCTGGAGGAAGCAGCGCAGGACCGGCGTCAGGAGCTCGACCTGCAGGGCCACCACTTCAAATCCCCGCTTGTGTACCTCCCAGAGTCCGTGGGGCTTCTAGACTGGATCGTGGAGCTCCGCCTGGCGAACAACGGCCTGGTGGTTCTCCCCCAGGCCATCGGGAACCTCTTCTGCCTCTCGGTCCTCGACGCCTCCTGCAACAAACTTGTCGAGCTGCCCGAGTCCATCGGGCATCTGGCAAAACTCCGAGTGCTGGACCTGCATCACAATTACCTGGAAGAGCTTCCCACGGCGATCGGCCACTGCGAGGCGCTAGAGGAGCTGAGGCTCGGGTTCAACTCCCTCACTGGGCTCCCGGAGGCGATCTGCAAGCTGGCGGAGCTGAAGCTGCTGTCTGCGCCGCTGAACCAGCTGACTTATGTGCCGCGGCGGATTGGGAACTTGGAGAAGCTGACGGATCTGGACGTGCATTACAACTCGCTGCAGTCGATTCCCGAGAGCATCGGGCGGCTGGAGAGGCTCACGTCGCTCAACATCAGCGCCAACCACTACCACCTGAAGGAGCTTCCGGAGACGCTTGGGAATCTGAGGAGCCTGGTGAAGCTGGATATTAGTGAGAATTACATCAAGATTCTGCCCGTCTCGTTTGTGAACCTGACGAGTTTGAAGAAGCTGTCGCTGCAGGGGAACCCTTGGCAGCACCCGCCTATGGATGTGGTTAATTCAGGCCTGCAGGTGAGGGGTTTGGGCTGGGTTGATTGGGATAAAAATGCGGTTTCCTAAGTGTGGTTCTGGTGCCTTTCTGAGAGCGTTTTTGGGGGGTGTGTCACCCTCCCTCCCCTTACTCCGTCTTTCAAACGCACGTGATTTTTAGTCTGAATATTGTTTTGTTTGACATGTTTTTCCTCCTCTCTCCCTATCCCCCTTTTCCTGTGCTACAGGGTGTGATGGATTATCTGAATTTGCATGATATTGTTGAGGACTCACATGGAGGGCCCAAGAAGCTTGGAGGGCTTCTGGGTTTTTTCAGGCAGAAGCAGAAGGAAGACCCAAAACTCGCTGCCTGGAAGAAAAATACTCGCACATTATAGTGTGCAGTCTTAGCCCTCCTGATTGATCAGTATACCATCTTCTATGCTTTAGCTTGACCCCTTGTTATTACTTACCCACTTAACTGTCAGCATCAGGTGGACATGGATTTATTTTCATTAGCATAAATCGTAGTTGAAAGGTACAGAGGAATTGTATGTTCCATCTGTTTCCAGCAATTATTAAAACGATTGAAATATTTTCTCGAGATTGCTAGGCAACTCCCCCTGACCCCTGACGAGTCACGACCCATGCGCGGGAAACGCCATGCTGATCTCGAGGCAGACCAAACCAAACAGGAGCCAAATTCTCGAGGGAAAGTTGTGCAAGGGCAAGGGCAAGGGAAATGCGTGCGGGAATCCGTGCAGGCAGGAGAGCAGAGGTGGTTGTCGTGGTCAGGATGTCGTCGACTCTAGCCTTGAGGGTTGTGCATTCTGTATGTCTACGAAGCGGCGATTCTTTTTCAGCTAAAATATGACGGAGTGACGGAACGGAGCAGGATTCATGGTTTCACTCAGTGAGAAGCCTTACTCCTTGCTTTGCATTCCTGATCCGTCTTCTAATTTCTAACTTTCGAATCTGAGCTTCATTGGTTTGAGTTCTGACTCTAACCACGTTAACTTCATTGTTTCTAAATAGGTCCTTAGAAGAATGGATAGTTTGCCAAAGAATGTGACTCCCGGACGCGGCGGGAATTTCGCGGATTCCAAAGTAGACTTCGATCTAGTTTCTGGATTTCAGCATACGCCCTCGAATCCTGGTCCTGGTGCATCCTCAAGCAATACTCCGTATAGGTTAGGCGCATCAGGTTCGTCTACCCCCCAGAGTAGCACTAGGCCGGGAATAGGGAGTTACGTTTTAGGATCTGGTAACAGCGGCAATGTGAAGCAAGAACCGTTAGATTGGTCGCCTGCGACTGACGCTGCTGTCGCACGCGTTGCCGGAGATCGTCAGGATTCGCGAGGTAAACACGCGACAACCAATACCGAACGATCTTCGGGAGATAACGACGTCGCAGCGTCGCACGGCGACGAGGTGGTGCGGGAATCCGATCTCGTTCGCGACGTTCTCATCCTGTGCGAAGGAATCGACGGTCGTTACCTCAAATTCGACGATGACTCGCGATCCGTGCGATTCGTGCCGGGCACGAGAATACAGCAGATACGCATGTGAGTATGAAGGTTCCTGGCAGCTTCAAGGATAGAAACATCAGCAATCAACAGAGGATCCCGGTACGGGAACTACTACAGCATCCTACTAGGACGGTCTGGTAGCAGTATTCGCGTTGAGCCTTAACTTCCTCCTCGTCGTTCGCTAGCCTCTTCGCTCACGTCCTTCGTTGCTCAATCTCCTTATCACTCAACTCGCTCGCGGACCCCTATGCCCGTCCATTTTTCTCTGCGCTACTCCCAGGGCTGAATCTCTTCAACTAAGCAAGCTCGGGGTGATGGTTCGGCAAATCCAAGCCTACATTCAGGCAGTGGCGTCAGCCAACGCGGGCAAAATAAGCAGCGCTGGTAGCGGGAGGCTGCAGCACAGAGCGGGTCGAGCGGAGCGAGTGACAGTGAAAGAAGAGAGAACGGGACGAGCAGAAAGAGTTATTGTGAAGGAAGAAGGAGGGGGACGAGGGGACCGGACATTGGCGCAGGAGGAAAGGGGGAGGCGGGCGGAGAGGGGCGTGGGGAACGAGGAGGGAGCAGCGGAGGTGCTGAAGAGCAAGAATCAAATGGTGGGTGAACGGGGGAGTTGACGGGTCAGGATGCGAGCAGGTGTGGGGTCAAGGGAAGGGAAGAGGAGCCGGGAGAAAACGAAGGGGCTGAAAGGGGTGGAAACGAGTGTGGAGGGATTGGATGGGGTTGTAGACTCCGTCCTTTCACCCTCTCCCCTTACTTTTCTCCCCGTCCCGCTCCCTGTCCTCTTCTCTCGCCCCCTAACTCCCCCCCTTTCTCCCGGCAGGCGTTCTGCGTCGCCCTCAGCACGGCGCTAAGCCAGTTCCGCGACGTGCTGGCGTGTCTAGACGTCCATCGCCACTCCCCTGCGCTCGCCGCCCTTCCGCCTGCGCCACCCTCCACGCCCCCGCCAGCTCCGCACTCCACCAGTCCACCCCTCCCCGCATCAGGGGAATCGGCCCGCAGGGAAGGGCGACAGGAGCGGCAGGGGGAGGAGGAGAGGAAGGGTGCGGAGAGCGGGAGTGTGGCGTTACGGGCGGGTAATACTGGAGCGGGCTCGGTGGGGAGGGATGGGTCAGGGGGAGCAGCACCGAGGCTAAGAGAGGGGGGGCTCGCTGTGGGGAGGCAGGAGCGGGGAGGGGAGTATCTGCGGTTAAGGCACCTGCTGGCGTTCCTGTCGCCGTGGTTCTTGCGCTTGGAGTGCCTCGTCTGCTTCATTGATGACTGCAGGTGGGTGCAAGCACGGGAGGGTGTGTGTTTGCACATTCACACGTGCTGTTGTACGTTCGAAAAGAATCAGATTCGTGCTGTTGTGCAAGCTAAGATATTGTTGCAGTGCTTGAATGGTGCCTGGGGGGTGATGGGAGGTGTTTGGGAGGTGCTTGGACGTTGCTGGGAGGTGCTGGAAGGTGGAGGAAACCTCCTTGCGTCCTCTCCCCACCCTCAACCCGCATGCCAAACCCCCCCCCCCCCATCCCCCCCAGATCTTTACGCGGCGGTCCCTTCTTGGACGCATTGGAGGCGAGGAAGAGAGCAGCGCAGGGCAGTGAGCGCGAGCAGCTCAGCTCAGCTCTGGGGGAGGCGGTGCGGCCGCTGGTGCAGGGCGTGGCGGAGTGGGCCGTGCTGGGGAACGTGGATGCCCGCAATGAGGAGTTTTTTGTGCGGTGCAGTGCGGTGGCGGCCAGCAAGGACGTGCTCTGGCAGGAGGGCTTCTGGTGAGGGCGGGGGTTGGATTTCTAAGCCTGGATGAGTGAGGGGCGCAGGGAAAAAGGGGCAGGGAGCAGAGAGCGTGGATGTGGTTGAATGGGGCGCCTTTTTCCGCTCCTCCCTTCCCCTCCTCTCGTCTCTTTCCCATTCATGCTTTCACTCCTTTCCTACATCTTTCTACCACGGGATGGAAGAGGCACTGGTCCCCAAATGTCTCATCTCTCTCGATCTAGCATATGCCATTCCCTTCGTTGGCAAGTCATTCGCTTCCTCTCACCCTCCTGCCCACCCGTTCTCCACATCCCCTGATTGCCTCATCACAGGATGGACAAGGCAATGGTCCCAGTGCGCCTCATCCCACTCTCCCTGGCACACACCATCGTCCGCGTTGGCAAGTCCATCCGCTTCCTCGTCCACTGCTGCGGCGACAGGCTCGGGCCCGAAGCAGCGAAGCAGGTGGAGCGGGAGGTTCGGGGCGCCCGAGCCTCGCTGGAGCTCCGGGACGTGCCGAGGCTGGTGGAGAGGGTATCAGCACAGGTGGAGACGCGGTTGGTACAGGTGGTGGTGGGGCAGTTTAATCTGCTGCACCACTGTGCTCTCATTAAACGCTTCATTCTCCTCACCAACGGCCACTTTGCTCAGGTCAGTCAGTCTCAGCCTTGGGTTATGCAGGCTGCTGTGTGCCTTTGGGTGGTTTGATGGTGTGAAACACGCGGCTGGTGCAGGTGGTGGTGGGGGCAGTTCAATCTGCTGCACCACTGTGCTCTCATCAAACGCTTCATACTCCTCACCAACGGCCACTTCGCTCAGGTCAGTCTCGATCTTGGGTCATGCAGGCCTCTGTGTGCGTTGAGTGGTATGAAACATGCGGCTGGTGCAGGTGGTGGGGTTGTTCGCCGTTGGCCATGCAGCCACTTCACCCGGGTCTGTGAGGAAAGTTGCATGAGCACTAAACACGACCCAATAGTCTGAATCTCAGACCTTTACCAAATGCTCGTTGGCAATGCTGCTTCCTGTTTGGGTCGACGTAGCATTCATCCCAAACACAGGTGGACGCAGTAATAGTGTGCTGTTGTTGTTTCTTAGAGGAACATCCTGTGCTCTCTCCTTGCCACGGCAGGTGCTGTTAGATGAGGCATCCAGTGAGCTCAAGAAGCACTATCGCCCTCTCAGGTGCTTCTGCCTCTCCTGTGCTCTCTCGCTGCCGTGGCAGGTGCTGCTAGATGAGGCGTCCAGCGAGCTCAAGAAGCCGGTCAACAAAGTCAGCACCATCGCCCTCTCAGGTGCCTCCACGTGTCTGCCTTATGATTCACTCATTACATCACAATCATTCACTTAACACTCAGCTCTGCTTCTCTTCACTCCTTTCGCTCTTGACTTCTCCCACTAATCATACTCTTTTACAACTCTCAATAGTCAGCCTCCAACCCACACTTGATGAACCAATTATCCCATCCTTTATCCCTTCCTTCCATGCCTTCGATGGCCTCCCAGGCGCCCTCCACGGAGCGGTGCTGGCATCGTTATTCTCAGGGGAGGAACCAGCTCTGGCTGATGCGCTGCAAGTCAAGCTGGTCAATGACAGGTGAGTGATGCCCAGTAGCTCGTGTGCTGCCATCCCAGGACTTTCTGTATTCAACAGCTTTCTCAAAGAGATCGTACCTGTTGGAACCATCATAGTACCACCAGCTCTTACTGTCTGCCTCCCTCAACATTCTCCCACGATCCCTCCTCCCGCTCATTCTCACCTCCCTGCCTGCCCCCCTTCACCCGCACCCCATACCCCCCTCATTCTCAGCACCCCTGGCATTTCCGGCTGGGACGTGTTCACCTTGGAGTACCGCATTCTACCACCTCTCACCGCTGTCATCACCGCAACCGCACAGCACCACTACGCACGGCTCTTCACCGCACTCTTCCTCCTGCAGCGCACCCGCCGTGCCCTCTCCTCCACCTGGCTCGCCCTCAAGCCCCAAGCCTCCAGGCTTCTGCCACCCGTTGTCAGGGAGTCCATTACTGCTGCGGTTACGGGCAGGTTCGCCGGAGGTTTGGGTTCTCGGGCAGCTGGAGCGGGCAACAAAACTAGAAAAGCAGACCCGGGAGGAATGGGAGAGGGCGCTGCTGCTGGTGCTGGTGCTGGTACTGCTGCTGCGGCTGGTGCTGGTGGGGGGAGTCTAGAAGGTGGTGTTGGTGGTGAAGGGGGGAAGAGAGTGACAGGGGGGTTGCAGGCGTGGAAGGAGAGGGAGGAGGAGAAGCTATTGGTGGGGCCTGTGAGGGGCGTGCGGGGCGTGTTTGCACGCATGTCGCAGTTCATGCGTGTGATCGAGACGTTTGCTGCTCTCAGGATCGAAACCAGCTGGAAGGACATGGTGGAAGGGGCCAAGGTGAGCCATGCTGGCACATGCTTATTGGAATGTGCAAGGTCTTGATGTGAATGAGTCGTTTGCTGCGCTCAGGATGGAAACCAGCTGGAAGGACATGGTGGAAGGGGCCAAGGTGAGCCATGCATGCTGGCAGATGCTCTTTTGGATCCAGATGTTTCTGTGTCCATGCATGTGACGTCTCTACACCCTTGTGGTTCTGCATGGTGTACCTCCACTCATCCCTCATCCCCCACCTGGCCTTCCAGAACGTAGCACGCCCAGATCTGATCGCACGCACGAGCTCCTTCCCACCACCCACTCTTTACCTGTCCCTCCAGAGTGCAACGAATCTGGACGAGTTAGTAGCCTGCCACGAGCGCTACCAGCAGGCGCTATTGAGGGCGCTCTTCCTGGACCGCCCCTCTGCCGCCCTCCTGGGCAGCGTGCGCCGCATCTGCCGCCTCGTGCTCGAGCTCTCCCACCTGGCTGCCCGCCTGCAGAAGCACACCGATAGCGTGTTTGCCAGGTATGTAGGAGTGCAGTGTATTTGCCAGGTGAGTGCAGTGCCTTTACCAGGTGAATGCAGCATCTTTACCAGGTGTGTGGGGTATGGCTTCAGCCATCTGAGAAACTGCCAAGTTACACACACTGATGGAAGTGAGCGTCTGCTTCTGCGTGTTCTCTTCCTCCTCCACTTCACAGGAAGCTTGCTGCTGCACGCACCGCAAGAGCCAGCAGCGGCAGCATCCGGAGCACCTCTGCGCTTCACACCACTGACAGCCTCGGGAACACACTAGCCGTGTCATCAGGTTCGGCAGACCTTCATGAGCTTCGGACTCAAGTAGCCTCCGTGATCAATCGGTTTAACGAGGAGGTTCGGATTGCTGTGGCTGCAATGGAAGCTAAAACAGATTCCGAAGAGATCGTCGATCTTGCTCAAAGCTGTCGATATGCAGCCAACATACGATGACGAAGCACCATGCCAGAATGAACTAGGTATATGAGCTACAGGGTCAAGAATGGAGACAAACATTTTTCATGTGTTGTTGTCTGACAATCAAAATGTAGAGAGCTGATTCTGTCGTAGTGTGGTGTTCAGAAGCTGCAGAGATAGGAAAAAAACTCTACTAATATGATGTTCGATCCCTCTCCGTTGTGATACTGACAAGCTTAATTCAGAAGCAAGCTACTAGGGAATGAGAATCCCTGTTCAGCTGGTTCTAACATCATAACTGATCTGCTTATTAGGAGTGTTTGACTAATTGTGTGGTCACGATACCCATTCCGCATTGACCCCCTCGTGTAAGTTGTATCGAGTTTTCTTGTAGGAACCGCAATGCCTACTCATTGCATGGCTGTCCTTCAATCAAGTCTAACAGAAGCGATGTCAGGGACGAAGTTAGCGTTTTACCGTTTAGAAAAGCATTTTCGCGAGCAACAGAGTACGCATTTGCGTATTTATATACCGTGCAACGATTATATAAGGGTTTCGACGCATAGCAGAGACGATGCATAGCAGCGACGACGCATAGCGGCGACGACGCATAGCCGCGACGACGCATAGCGGCGACGACGCATAGCGGCGACGACGCATAGCGGCGACGACGCATAGCGGCGACGACGCATAGCGGCGACGACGCATAACAGCGACGACGCATAGCAGCGACGACGCATAGCAGCGACGACGCATAGCGGCGACGACGTATTACAGCGATCAAGCATTTCGGCGGCTAATTGTGTCATCGATTTGAGTCAGCTTTTATCCAAGAATCATCCATTGAGCATAACAGCGACTACGCAGAGTCGCATGATTGCGACTACGCATGATTGCGACCACGCATGATTGCGACTACGCATGATTGCGACTACGCATGATTGCGACTACGCATGATTGCGACTACGTATGACAGCGATTACGCCTTGAAACGGTCAAGCATTTCAGCGCGGTTTGATCGCCGTCTCTCACTTCAGAGCTGCCTGCCTCGCACACGTGTCGATCATTTCATTGACTCGTAGCACACGTGGCGATCCACTGTGAAGCACATGTGGCGCCGGGGCTTAGATCCGCTGAGGAAGCTGACACGTGGCGACCTGAGGGGCGCGGAACATATTGCAGGATGGCGAGGTAACGATCCGATGTCGCTCTTTGCGCGTGACAATCAAGGAAACTAAGGAATGCAATCGGCGTAACGCCGGATATGTGCTCCTGCGATGCGCATGTGTTCCTGAGCACCTGCGTACGCAGATTATTTCTTGTCCAGGACGTTTGTTTCAAGCGTTGTGCATTCACGACATCATGCATTCAGCGCGCTTGTTGTGTTCGTTACGCTCATGACAAAGCGCCTCGCTCTCATAGCAAATCTAGTAGTAGCAAGTAGCTTCGATCTGACCCTCCCGCCCCAACCCCATCCCCCTTTCCGACACTCTTTCCCTCACACTAGAACTCCCCTCAGCACTCGCTTCGTCCGTTTCTTCTCCTACTCCTCGTTTTCCACCACCAGCAGCGGCGGCAGCAGCAGCATCTGCCACTCACACTGCAGTGGCTGCGTCACTTAGTTTCCTTACCCATGCTAACTGTCCTGTCGGACCTGATCATCAGGCTCGGTCCGAACCAGCAACTGACCGCAGGCTGACAGCAGCAGCAGCAGCAGCAACAGTAGCAGCAGCTACCTTGGGATTGTCGGCAGTGCACGCAGCAGAAGCACCAGAGGGGGACGGTAGCAACGCTGGCGTGGGTTCAGGGCGAGAGGGATCCGCGGATGGGGCAAGGCCGGCAGTGGACTGGGGTGCTGCAGGAAAGGGAGAGGGAGGTGAGGGACCGGCAGTGGGGAGCAAGCACACGGCGCGCTGGCGAGTGTTCACAGACCGAGGCAGGGAGCTATTCTCACAGGTAAAGTGAGTGAATTCGAACCGGCTTTCCTTCCACGTGTTGATACGAATGTGTTTCTGAGTGGATGCATGTGTTCCTTGATCCTGATCCTACCAGCTGCTCCCCTCTCTGACTCTCTCCACATCCCCTGCCCTCTATCTCTCTCTCCCCCCAGGGTCGACTACAGGACGCAGAGCGGTACCTGCAGATGGCTATAGAGGAGGCCAAGGCGGGTGGGTGAATCTGCATTCATCAGGCTGAAGTGATCTGGTTGCCTTTCATTCCACCACACACCACGTCTTCCTTTCCACCCCTTTCTTTTGTCCCTCTGCCCCCCCAGGGTCGCCTACGGGATGCAGAGCGGTACCTGCAGAGGGCTATAGAGGAGGCGAAGGCGGGCTTTGGGCCGTCTGACCCCCACGTTGCATCCAGCTGCAATAACCTGGTGCGGTGAAGGAACGAGGGGAGGGGGTTGGGGGCGAGGGGAGGGGATGGTGGGGTTGGTAAGAGGGGTGGCGTGAGATGAGATGTACCTTTGGGCCGTCTGACCCCCACGTGGCGTCCTCCTGCAATAACCTGGTGCGGTGAAGGAACGAGGGGAGGGGGTGAGAAGTTGGATGGAAGGGGTTGATAAGGGAAGGGGCGGGGTGGGTGGATTGCATCTGTGCCATCCGATCCCCACGCTGCATCCAGCTGCAATAACCTGGTGCGGTGAAGGAACGAGGGGAGGGGGTGAGAAGTTGGATGGAAGGGGTTGATAAGGGAAGGGGCGGGGTGGGTGGATTTCATCTGTGCCATCCGATCCCCACGCTGCATCCAGCTGCAATAACCTGGTGCGGTGAAGGAACGAGGGGAGGGGGTTGGGGGGGAAGGGAGGGGATGGTGGGGGAAGGAAAGTAGATTGGGGGGGTAATATCGGGGGTGGAGATGTGGCGTCCAGCTGCAGTATCATCATGTCCCCTCCTCCCTTTCTCTTGAGACGTCTCAAAAGTCGTCTACTTACACGCGGATTTTATATTGATAGAGTTTTTGTTGCTTGGATAGAGTCCTCATGGCCGACGGGGGTGGGGATGTGGCGTGCAGCTGCAGTAGCATTATGTCCCCTCCCTCCTCCCTTTCTCTCCTTCCCGCACACCAGGCAGAGCTGTACCGAGTAATGGGGGAGTGGGAGGCGGCAGAGCGTCTGTTCCAAGAGGCTGCAGAGCGGTTGAGAGCGGTGGAAATGCCTCTGCCGCTTGCAGCTACCCTGCATAACCTGGGAGGGCTGTACCTGCAGCAGGCTCAGCTGGGGCAGGGTCAACTGGGGCATTCTCAACCCGGGAATGCTGAACTGGGGCAGGCTCAGCTGGGGCAGGCTCAGCTGGGGCAGGCTCAGCTGGGGCAGGCTCATCTGGAGAAAGCTCGTGTGTGCTACGAGGTTGGTTGCAGAACAGAGTAGAGTGTGCCATTGTTTCCATGATAAAAATACGCAATGCTGAATTCGCCTTTTCATAGCCCTCTTTTCGTAGCCCTCTATCCATAGCCCTCTTTTCGTAGCCCTCTATCCTCAGCCCTCTTTTCGTAGTCTAGTGTTCTCGTGATTTCCATGCTGTGTTCGCGTAACCTCTCCTTTGTTGCATGTGTTGACGTGGCATGGCATGCAATGGCAACCTGTGGGTGGCGATTGGACCATGGTTTGACTTGACAAATCCATGTTAATCAACATATCCTGCTGCGCTTATCACCTCGACAAATAACACCCGCTCCTGTGCTCCACAGGAGGCTCTCCAGGTGTGTTGCACCTGGTACGGATTTTGCATCTCGGGTTCACTGTTTGCAGCAGGTTGCAGCAGGTTGTGTGATTCTATAGAGGCATTTCAGTGTCGCCACTTGTTGGGTATTCCGCAGTTGCCTTTTGATTGCATCTTCCTGATTCCCATCCTCTTAATTCCCATTTTCTTGATTCCCATCCTCTTAATTCCCATTTTCTTGATTCCCGTCCTCGTCATATCCATCCTCATGCTTCTCTCTTCTGCCTGCGTCCCATCCCATCCCATCCCTTCCGTCCTTTGCCCTCCCTGTCTCTCCCCCACCCACAGCTCAAGGCGAAGGAATTGGGAGAGTCCCACCCAGACTACGCCAACACCATGTTCCACCTCGCAGAGGTGAGTGCGGGGACAGGTGAGCGGACAGACGGCAGTACAAAGGGCTAAGGTCACTCGCCTTCTGAGTCGACTCACAAGTCACCTCCTCTGATTCCCACCCAGACTATGCCAACACCATGTTCCACCTCGCAGAGGTGAGGTGAGGTGAGGTGAGGTGAGGTGAGGTGAGGTGAGGTGAGGTGAGGTGAGGTGAGGTGAGGTGAGGTGAGAGGAAACACAGAGGTCTTAGGTAGAACCATCATATGGGTCGATGCAACAGGCACCTTCTCTGGAAGTGATTCACGCGCCTCCAGGCTGCACCGCGCGCCTCCAGGCTGCACCGCTCGCCTCCAGGCTGCACCGCTCGCCTCCAGGCTGCACCGCTCGCCTCCAGGCTGCACCGCTCGCCTCCAGGCTGCACCGCTCGCCTCCAGGCTGCACCGCGCGCCTCCAGGCTGCACCGCTCGCCTCCAGGCTGCACCGCTCGCCTCCAGGCTGCACCGCTCGCCTCCAGGCTGCACCGCTCGCCTCCAGGCTGCACCGCTCGCCTCCAGGCTGCACCGCTCGCCTCCAGGCTGCACCGCTCGCCTCCAGGCTGCACCGCGCGCCTCCAGGCTGCACCGCTCGCCTCCAGGCTGCACCGCGCGCCTCCAGGCTGCACCGCTCGCCTCCAGGCTGCACCGCTCGCCTCCAGGCTGCACCGCTCGCCTCCAGGCTGCACCGCTCGCCTCCAGGCTGCACCGCTCGCCTCCAGGCTGCACCGCTCGCCTCCAGGCTGCACCGCTCGCTTCCAGGCTGCACCGCTCGCCTCCAGGCTGCACCGCGCGCCTCCAGGCTGCACCGCTCGCCTCCAGGCTGCACCGCTCGCCTCCAGGCTGCACCGCTCGCCTCCAGGCTGCACCGCTCGCCTCCAGGCTGCACCGCTCGCCTCCAGGCTGCACCGCTCGCCTCCAGGCTGCACCGCTCGCCTCCAGGCTGCACCGCGCGCCTCCAGGCTGCACCACTCGCCTCCAGGCTGCACCGCTCGCCTCCAGGCTGCACCGCTCGCCTCCAGGCTGCACCGCTCGCCTCCAGGCTGCACCGCTCGCCTCCAGGCTGCACCGCTCGCCTCCAGGCTGCACCGCTCGCCTCCAGGCTGCACCGCTCGCCTCCAGGCTGCACCGCTCGCCTCCAGGCTGCACCGCGCGCCTACAGGCTGCACCGCTCGCCTCCAGGCTGCACCGCTCGCCTCCAGGCTGCACCGCTCGCCTCCAGGCTGCACCGCTCGCCTCCAGGCTGCACCGCTCGCCTCCAGGCTGCACCGCTCGCCTCCAGGCTGCACCGCGCGCCTCCAGGCTGCACCGCTCGCCTCCAGGCTGCACCGCGCGCCTCCAGGCTGCACCGCTCGCCTCCAGGCTGCACCGCTCGCCTCCAGGCTGCACCGCTCGCCTCCAGGCTGCACCGCTCGCCTCCAGGCTGCACCGCTCGCCTCCAGGCTGCACCGCTCGCCTCCAGGCTGCACCGCTCGCTTCCAGGCTGCACCGCTCGCCTCCAGGCTGCACCGCGCGCCTCCAGGCTGCACCGCGCGCCTCCAGGCTGCACCGCTCGCCTCCAGGCTGCACCGCTCGCCTCCAGGCTGCACCGCTCGCCTCCAGGCTGCACCGCTCGCCTCCAGGCTGCACCGCTCGCCTCCAGGCTGCACCGCTCGCCTCCAGGCTGCACCGCGCGCCTCCAGGCTGCACCGCTCGCCTCCAGGCTGCACCGCGCGCCTCCAGGCTGCACCGCGCGCCTCCAGGCTGCACCGCTCGCCTCCAGGCTGCAGCGCTCGCCTCCAGGCTGCACCGCGCGCCTCCAGGCTGCACCGCTCGCCTCCAGGCTGCACGGCTCGCCTCCAGGCTGCACCGCTCGCCTTCAGGCTGCACCGCTCGCCTCCAGGCTGCACCGCTCGCCTCCAGGCTGCACCGCTCGCCTCCAGGCTGCACCGCTCGCCTCCAGGCTGCACCGCTCGCCTCCAGGCTGCACCGCTCGCCTCCAGGCTGCACCGCTCGCCTCCAGGCTGCACCGCTCGCCTCCAGGCTGCACCGCTCGCCTCCAGGCTGCACCGGCTCGCCTCCAGGCTGCACCGCTCGCCTCCAGGCTGCACCGCTCGCCTCCAGGCTGCACCGCTCGCCTCCAGGCTGCACCGCTCGCCTCCAGGCTGCACCGCTCGCCTTCAGGCTGCACCGCTCGCCTCCAGGCTGCACCGCTCGCCTCCAGGCTGCACCGCTCGCCTCCAGGCTGCACCGCTCGCCTCCAGGCTGCACCGCTCGCCTCCAGGCTGCACCGCTCGCCTCCAGGCTGCACCGCTCGCCTCCAGGCTGCACCGCTCGCCTCCAGGCTGCACCGCTCGCCTCCAGGCTGCACCGCTCGCCTCCAGGCTGCACCGCTCGCCTCCAGGCTGCACCGCGCGCCTCCAGGCTGCACCGCTCGCCTCCAGGCTGCACCGCGCGCCTCCAGGCTGCACCGCTCGCCTCCAGGCTGCACCGCTCGCCTCCAGGCTGCACCGCGCGCCTCCAGGCTGCACCGCTCGCCTTCAGGCTGCAGCGCTCGCCTCCAGGCTGCACCGCGCGCCTCCAGGCTGCACCGCTCGCCTCCAGGCTGCACGGCTCGCCTCCAGGCTGCACCGCTCGCCTCCAGGCTGCACCGCTCGCCTCCAGGCTGCACCGCTCGCCTCCAGGCTGCACCGCTCGCCTCCAGGCTGCACCGCTCGCCTCCAGGCTGCACCGCTCGCCTCCAGGCTGCACCGCTCGCCTCCAGGCTGCACCGCTCGCCTCCAGGCTGCACCGCTCGCCTCCAGGCTGCACCGCTCGCCTCCAGGCTGCACCGCTCGCCTCCAGGCTGCACCGCTCGCCTCCAGGCTGCACCGCTCGCCTCCAGGCTGCACCGCTCGCCTCCAGGCTGCACCGCTCGCCTCCAGGCTGCACCGCTCGCCTCCAGGCTGCACCGCTCGCCTCCAGGCTGCACCGCTCGCCTCCAGGCTGCACCGCTCGCCTCCAGGCTGCACCGCTCGCCTCCAGGCTGCACCGCTCGCCTCCAGGCTGCACCGCTCGCCTCCAGGCTGCACCGCTCGCCTCCAGGCTGCACCGCTCGCCTCCAGGCTGCACCGCTCGCCTCCAGGCTGCACCGCTCGCCTCCAGGCTGCACCGCTCGCCTCCAGGCTGCACCGCTCGCCTCCAGGCTGCACCGCGCGCCTCCAGGCTGCACCGCTCGCCTCCAGGCTGCACCGCTCGCCTCCAGGCTGCACCGCTCGCCTCCAGGCTGCACCGCTCGCCTCCAGGCTGCACCGCTCGCCTCCAGGCTGCACCGCTCGCCTCCAGGCTGCACCGCTCGCCTCCAGGCTGCACCGCTCGCCTCCAGGCTGCACCGCTCGCCTCCAGGCTGCACCGCGCGCCTCCAGGCTGCACCGCTCGCCTCCAGGCTGCACCGCTCGCCTCCAGGCTGCACCGCTCGCCTCCAGGCTGCACCGCTCGCCTCCAGGCTGCACCGCTCGCCTCCAGGCTGCACCGCTCGCCTCCAGGCTGCACCGCTCGCCTCCAGGCTGCACCGCTCGCCTCCAGGCTGCACCGCGCGCCTCCAGGCTGCACCACTCGCCTCCAGGCTGCACCGCTCGCCTCCAGGCTGCACCGCTCGCCTCCAGGCTGCACCGCTCGCCTCCAGGCTGCACCGCTCGCCTCCAGGCTGCACCGCTCGCCTCCAGGCTGCACCGCTCGCCTCCAGGCTGCACCGCTCGCCTCCAGGCTGCACCGCTCGCCTCCAGGCTGCACCGCGCGCCTACAGGCTGCACCGCTCGCCTCCAGGCTGCACCGCTCGCCTCCAGGCTGCACCGCTCGCCTCCAGGCTGCACCGCTCGCCTCCAGGCTGCACCGCTCGCCTCCAGGCTGCACCGCTCGCCTCCAGGCTGCACCGCGCGCCTCCAGGCTGCACCGCTCGCCTCCAGGCTGCACCGCGCGCCTCCAGGCTGCACCGCTCGCCTCCAGGCTGCACCGCTCGCCTCCAGGCTGCACCGCTCGCCTCCAGGCTGCACCGCTCGCCTCCAGGCTGCACCGCTCGCCTCCAGGCTGCACCGCTCGCCTCCAGGCTGCACCGCTCGCTTCCAGGCTGCACCGCTCGCCTCCAGGCTGCACCGCGCGCCTCCAGGCTGCACCGCGCGCCTCCAGGCTGCACCGCTCGCCTCCAGGCTGCACCGCTCGCCTCCAGGCTGCACCGCTCGCCTCCAGGCTGCACCGCTCGCCTCCAGGCTGCACCGCTCGCCTCCAGGCTGCACCGCTCGCCTCCAGGCTGCACCGCGCGCCTCCAGGCTGCACCGCTCGCCTCCAGGCTGCACCGCGCGCCTCCAGGCTGCACCGCGCGCCTCCAGGCTGCACCGCTCGCCTCCAGGCTGCAGCGCTCGCCTCCAGGCTGCACCGCGCGCCTCCAGGCTGCACCGCTCGCCTCCAGGCTGCACGGCTCGCCTCCAGGCTGCACCGCTCGCCTTCAGGCTGCACCGCTCGCCTCCAGGCTGCACCGCTCGCCTCCAGGCTGCACCGCTCGCCTCCAGGCTGCACCGCTCGCCTCCAGGCTGCACCGCTCGCCTCCAGGCTGCACCGCTCGCCTCCAGGCTGCACCGCTCGCCTCCAGGCTGCACCGCTCGCCTCCAGGCTGCACCGCTCGCCTCCAGGCTGCACCGCTCGCCTCCAGGCTGCACGGCTCGCCTCCAGGCTGCACCGCTCGCCTCCAGGCTGCACCGCTCGCCTCCAGGCTGCACCGCTCGCCTCCAGGCTGCACCGCTCGCCTCCAGGCTGCACCGCTCGCCTTCAGGCTGCACCGCTCGCCTCCAGGCTGCACCGCTCGCCTCCAGGCTGCACCGCTCGCCTCCAGGCTGCACCGCTCGCCTCCAGGCTGCACCGCTCGCCTCCAGGCTGCACCGCTCGCCTCCAGGCTGCACCGCTCGCCTCCAGGCTGCACCGCTCGCCTCCAGGCTGCACCGCTCGCCTCCAGGCTGCACCGCTCGCCTCCAGGCTGCA